AAAAAAATATTTGATTTCCATCGAAACAAGAAATATTTTTCCGCATTCTTGGAAAATCTCGCAGAGATGAATTAATTGCTTTCGTACAGACTGATTGCATTAATTTCTAAATTGATGTAAAATACTAGATTTCTGAAAAAATTTTGGGTAATAAATAAATTTGTGATTGTCTCGTATTTTTTTTTGGAATGGTTGGATCGATTTCTTCTGAAATTTCATCTCTGTTTCATTTACAATGAAAAATCTATACAGTATTCAAGAATTAATTCTACAACAATTTCTGGTGGACAATTTGTTAAAATAAATAAACAATGACGAACAATTACGAAATTATTATGGATTAATGAAGAAGATGTTCTCCAGCAGAATGAAAATGATTTGATGTATTTTATAATCAGAAATTATCAGTTTGGTGCAGTTGATATCACAATTCCTAGAATAAACAATCAAGGAACTCCGAGATGAGGCCAAGAACGAAGGAAAGTCGGTCGACCCCCTTTCCTAAGCCGTTGTGGACATTATTGTGCCACTTTCACATATTTCTCTGTACATTTTCGCCAGTGCTGGTCGATAATCTGGAAAAATAAAATAGTCGATTAAAAAAATCACAAGTCAGAGTCCCTCGTTCCCTGGGGAATCTGTAGAGGTGTCCCCTGGACAATCACCAGTGGACAGAACTCCAGAGTCCAGGTAGAGGGGACGAGAGAAATAGAAGGGAAACAGTCAACGAAACGTCAATATTTAAAGTGAAGAGAAATGAGACAGGTGTCCATTTTGCAGTATCTCTTTATTTCATTCATTCACTAGCATTCACTCATATTCAGTGCAACACTTTAATCAAAATTTATTTCGCCTTTTTAATAAATTTATAAATAAAATTGAAGAATTCTTTGTGGAGTGAAATCATCTCAAATTCTTCTGTCATAATATTTCGAATACATTCTTGGAGAATTCAATAATAAATAATGGTTATTAGTTTGTGCAATCGTGAGTGACATAATGCATTCGTGCAGTGAATTTTATATTTTTCGGCGGCAGTGAATCATTTTTTTTTTACAGTGCAACTGAATTATTTGAATTGTTTATTGATTAATTCGATTAGTTTCGGTTTTTTGAAGAAATTCATTGAAACAATTCCCCGATTGTTTATAAGTATTTAAGTATTAAGTATTTAAAGTATTTATTTTGAATTGTACATGAAAATAAAAATTTATAAATCGAGTGCAGACGATTGCAAATAAATTCAATAACAAATAACGTAAGATTGGGGTGATGAGAGTGCGAAGGATAATTTCAGTTGTAATTTAATTGAGAAATAATTTATTTGGGGGGACCGACGACATGGGGTTCATGGACTTTTTGCACGTGATATTATTCGCAATGTGTTGGATCACGCTGGCGGAATCCCTTCTGCCGAGGAATAATTACAAAGGACTGAAGGGTGTTACACCGCATTCAGAAATTACCGCAGCAAAACTCAGACGAGTGGTTTATTATCACGATCAAGCAGTGGCGATTATCGATATAAATCCACAGAAGGAAATTGAAAATTGTCATATTATAGAAGTTTAGTAAGTAAATTTCTAAAAGAATTGCCTCGGATTTTCCAGAATATTTCCCTAATCCATTTTTTTCCATTTTTTTCTCTTCACAGTTTCAATAAAAAATATAAATAATTATATCCATTTGTTATTTAAACGACTATATATCGATATAATATTAATTAATATTCATAATTTATAATATAAGAATTTATTGATTACATTTTTCATAAGACATAAAAAAAGAGAAAAAATTTGATATGTTTTCTCGATAGTCAATAATTAAAATTCAATTGGAATAATATTTATTATTAATTTTAGTGAACCTGAGGAAGCCAAGGAATTACTGATGAATTTATCGGAAATAGCGCGTCCCACGCAGGTGTTATTTAGTGAGATGACAGGTCTGATGTATCGCTGTCAATTACTTGACAGTATCCAGGCGAATAATTCGGAAAAGGAAGAAGCAAAAAGTGCTCTCGATCATGCCAATTCATTCGGCAACAGCGCCTACAATTTATTATCCGGGATATTACCAGGTGATGATTATTAATCAATAAATCAACTAGTGAATAATTCCGAAATTATTCGACTAATTTTTCGCTGAATTCCTGTCACAGCATCCAGCGAAAATCGTCATAACTTTGTAATTAATTCTAGATTAATTAACTAATTTATTTTCTTGTTTCTATTTTTTTTTTCAGGCACCAAATGGTGTGGGACTGGAGATATAGCGGAACATTATCATGATTTAGGAGAAGATTCTGATATTGACAGGTATTTCATGACGAAATATTAAATATTTATTTTGTTTTTCAATTAGAGTCTATTAAAATCAATTAAAATCAATTGAATCAATGAAAACAATAATACCGGAAGATAAATTACTGTTAACCTTGCAAGATGTGATTAATTAATTAGAAAATGAATTATTTATTAAATCAATTGATTTTCAGGAAATAGTGTCTTTTATTTTTCAGTTGCTGTCGCACCCACGACCTGTGTCCCGTGAAAATTCGCGCTCATCGAACGCGATATAACATCACAAATCTCTCACTTTACAGCAAGTGAGTATTTATTCTAAATAAATAATAATAATTACGTACAAACTGTAATTTTAATATTTGTGGTATTTTGAAATGTAATTTGATGTTCGAAAAAGATTGACCACTCGAATATCTCATCTCAAGAGGAGGTCCCACTTAATTAACAGTTGCCTAACGTCTAAGACAGTTCAATGACCCTCTCAATTAACTCCATAAAATTACCCGTTACAGATCTCATTGTGATTGCGACAACGCTTTCTACAATTGTCTCAAGAGCATTGGTACACCCAAGGCGAATATAATGGGGAAAATTTATTTCAATATAATCAAAGTGGGATGCATCGAGGATTTTCCGAAAAGTGCGAATATGAATGTCCCCTCCACCAAGCAAATGCGAAGGTTTACAACTACGAAACTGTATTTTTAATTTAAATAAAATATTTTATAGATTTTTTAATGAATTTTTCATTACCTCCGGCTCATTATTCTATCTGCAATCCACAGCGCGAGAGAAGTCCAAGAATTTCATATGATTTTCCAACGTCTTACGCACGCTCAAGGCCGGATGATTATAGATATTACCTGGAGCAGATAAAATTGAACTGCATGCGATAAATGAATTTTTTTACTTCAAGTTCACTAAAAAATGCGAAAAATTCTCTTGACAATTCACGGCTAAAAAATGAAAATAATAATAAAATAAAAAATAAAACAGAATTTATGGAACCGAAGATGAACGAATTAAATTGGCAATAGAACTCTTAGAATATAATAATTCCTATAATAATTAATTATTACTGATTATTATTATATAATTGTGAATAATTTGTAATATCAAGTAAACGCTGTACCTATCATCCAAAGAGTTTCCCTCCTCACAGAAAAATGTGGATGTGTCAATAATTTATTGAATAACTCTTCAATTTTGCATCGACTAGAATTGGATTTCTGCGTGAGAATAAAACCCGCGGAATTCCCTGAATCCTCAGCTATTAAATTCGCCAGAATTCTCACGCTGGCAATGATTTCTCCAATCCGGCATTCCGCTTCTCTTTCATTTCCCTGGAGATGCATTAGATTCGATAAAATCGAGGGGATGATTCTGGACAGATGATTCCTACAAACAGCCGTCGATGACAGCAATGCCAGAAGCCAGAGTAAATCAGATGACATGTGATCCTCGAGAAGACGATCCACTGCGATCTGTGTCACCAGAATAAAATCGGATTCTCTCATAATTTCGGAGGAAGAATTCCCGAATAAATAGAATTTCAGGGCATACGAGACTGAAGGGATTATCTGTTTTTGACAGGATTGCAAGAGCGAAGAGAGACGATTGAGGCATCCTAAATCATTTAGAGCTTTTATGATTTCCTTCGAGCCACTGTTGCAGAGATTCCCAATGGTCCAGGCACTTGCTTCCAAAAGAGGATTATTACGACTCTCTAATTGCGTAATTAAATACGGTCCGATATATTTACACAACAAAATTGAATGGATGACGTCCCCCAGGGCGATGTTGCAACAGCAGTGCAATGCCAGCAGTTGTATCTCAGGATTAGAACTGGAAAGATCACGAACAACTGCAGATAATATCTGATCGATAGACAGGAACTCCTTGATGTTCTCGTCCTGGAGGAGAGCACCTTCCAGTTGTTTGTAATCGTTAATTGATAATGTCTTTTTTTTGAGATCCTTTCCCTTTTGGAGGAGAGACTTTCCTGTCCATTCGCATTGGCTCGAGACATTTTCATTCACACCCAATGCTGTTCTCCGGAGTTTATTGAACTCTCGATTTCGATGGTCTCTCCTTTCATTCTCAGCTGTTCTTCGCAGACCATGACGAATTATTTCCACTGCATTCTCATTTCCATGAGGAGTGGAACTACATTCAACGGGTGAATCCATTTTTTAGGCCCCGGAATTATTTATTCAGCCGATTTTTAATTACAGGAAATTTAATTTAATTAAATAAACTAATACGGTTACATGAATTCATTTTAGTTGGATTATTATTGAATTAATTTTAATTAGACTCGAAATATTATATTTTTTTAATTAGATTATTCCATAATTGGATGTTTCAAATTATTGACGGTGTGACAGTAGATAATTTTAAGTGATGGGTCGATATCTGATAACAATGTAGACTTTTTGAGCGGTTCACTTAATTATTTATAGAAACTGGTTTTAGGTGAAACTAATTGGGATTTTAGAGACGTAGTTATGATTTTTTGTGGAGAAATCATTGATCCCTAACCTCACGAACACGTTCGAGTGACAGAATGTTGTACAACACACGTGGAAAAGTCGGTGTCGGTCCGAGGACTTGAATTCTGACGTCACAATTCTCCAAAATCAATCTCCACTTTAATTCTTCACGTTGAGCTTGTGTCATCGCCTGTGGAATCATCCAAAGATTGATTATATGAATTTTCCTATTTTTAATTCTTCGATTTTATGAAAATGAAAATGAAAATGAAAATGAAAATGAAAATTGCAATGTAGCAGAAAAAATCCAGATAATTTGTACTTAAAAAATTCAATAGAAAATAATTAAACTGATTGATCCAGTGATTGACCTTGAATTCATCGACAGAACAAGCAAGGGCTTGTTCAGCTGGTGCTCCAGTGAGTCGACATCCAATAAGATAACCCGTTTCATCCTTCAGGTTGATTTTCAGGTAGAAAGTGTGGATATTCGTTGGTTCTCTTCTGCCATTTCCACAGGGACACTCCAAATTCATACACGAGTCCTGATTATTATCAATTGTACGTTTGCAGAGTGCACTAGAACCATTTATCACTCGATTATTAATACTACTACAAAGATGAATTCTTGTAAAAATTCAATTACCATCGTGTAAGGAGTATGTCTCGTCCTGGGGTATTTTCCATATTTATCTCAGTGACTGCAGCATAAAGAATAGTAACGAATTGAACTCTATCCCCAGTAGTTGGTTTTTGGTTCAATCTCTCTGAAATTTCCTTGATAGTCATGACTGTCTTGATGTTCTCAGCTGCAGCAAAAAAAAAACAAGAGGAATCAGGAAGGAATTATGTATCTGGAGTCATGGATTTGATGGAAACAAATAAATATAAATGAAGTTACGTTTTGGTAGGACAAATGGGTCATGAGAAATCGAGTCAATTTCAGTGATGGACTTCCTGAGTTTATCAGCCTCTGGCACATCTGGATTCTCTGTTATTATTGTCTTTCTGACAATCATCAGAGTCATCTTCTTCTTGAATTTATCCGTAGTCACAAGTAAATCTGACATAAAGAGAACAGAACTCTTGGGCTCCCAATTTGCAGATCTGCGTATCCACTCCTTCTCCCAGAGTTTGAAACCAATTGTTTCACTCGTTGTACCATCGTTCACCTCGAAATCACGACAGACGAGGGCACGGCCATCTCTTGTCATTATATTCCGAGAGTCACTCACCTGGAGATCCATCAATCAACGAAAGTTCCAGGAAAATATATTCAATCATAAAAAAAAGAGGATGAGATAATAAATTTGAAGAGCCTCAATACATTCGCAATAGATATTCAAGATGAATAATGGAATTTTGACAAAATATTTCAACCTACAAAAGTCACAGCAGCAAATATGTCGACGTATTGTTCTCGCAATGACTCCATATTCTTGAGGACATCACTGAGACTTCTGGCAGTGGCCAGATCTTTCATGGGAGCATGAAGAAGAGTCTCGTACATTTTCTTGTCAGGGCTGTCATGGGTTTGAATCAATGCAGACCCCTCGTTAATAACTAAATGATGAACACTGCTTGTCGTTGGCATAAACTTCTCATTCTTCCCATCATGTGGATAATCCTGAATTTTTGCATTGATTACTTCGACGACACAACCGATGGAAAATGACTCGTTCAATTTACTGATGTAATTCTCAGACCCCCAGACGGTTACATTTATTGTGTCGTATTCAGAATCTCGTAAGGTGAAGCTCCAGACTGCACGAACTCCAGGACGAACTGAAATTTTTACTCCATCATTAATTAATTAATTCATATTAATCATTAACTTTTTATACAGCCCATTTTTTCGGAGTCTCGACATCAATTAATTACATTTGTTGCTCTCCATTAAGAGTCTTTATAATAATTTGAGAATCAATTGTTATTTGTTTTTACATTTGATGAATAATTGATTCAATTTGAATATTTATTTTGATCCTTTCAATTTAATCTGAATAAATTACGTACATTTGGAGTTGGTTTCGAACGTCTTGACGTTGAAACTAGTGATGATGACTCCGACAACCAGAGAATTCTGAATATTCACTTGAAGACTATTAATCTTCTGATAATAAACACTCGTCATCATTGACACCTGATCCTCCACTAATTATAAACAAATGATTGTGATTTTTCAGAAAAAATTGAGTAAAAGTTGAAGAACCCGAATCCTTTAGAACAAAGAAGAAATTCCACGAACGAAAAAACTTGTATTTCCCCCACTAACCGCCATCTTGTATTTTCAAATTCGATAGCCAATGAGAGGGCAAGTCCGATTTTTTCATATATGACTTCATAATTGAGAATAATAAACAATTTTGTACGTTCGTAATTTATTATAATTTATTATTCCAGAGTTTTTCATTAAAAAACGTCAGTTTAATGATTTATATTTATTTATGAAATAATTTATGGAATTGGAGAGATAAAAAAAATATATTTATTAGTTAAAAGCGTATTTTCGTTTTATTAAGGCACTCTACAGTTACAAACTATAATAATAATAATAATAATAACACACGAAATCACAGAATATTCATAATTTTAAATTTCCCCCTCATTGCCTAGATAAATATTTTACTTATTGTAATCCCCGAAGTGTGAGGACGGGATTTATTAAGTGGATTAACGATGTTAATTGATTATTAATAACTAATAGGTAATATATAAATTAATGTGTGCTTGTCATCGCTGTCAACTCGTTAAAGACGAAATTAATCCGATAATTGAGATGATTCAGTGGTAGAACAATTTTTGGAAAGTATTTCTGATGTTGACATGACGGTTTTTTTTTTTGAGAAATTTATTATGGAAAAATTGAGCATTGACCACTGACTGACACCTGTTTATTCTAATTCATCACTGAGTTCATAATTATTACAATTTTAATTCTTGAGCTGTGCCATTTTTGTTTTGTACGTTAACATCTCATTGAGATGTAATTATCTAGGAGAGATCGAGGGTCAACGCACGGAGAAAAATCCAGAGTCAAATAGATTCTTTCAATTTTCAATTCCGAAAGGAAAATTTAGATTTTTTCCTTTCAATTCTGAATATTTTTAAAATCCATTCTATCCCATGCATTCTCATTAATCAAAAAATATAACTGAAGTAACTGAAGTATCTTTTCACTCTTTCACGCATTCTGGAAATGAATTCGAAATTAGGCCGTTCATTATCACGTGAATACACAATTGTTGGACAAGAAAGAAAATAAAACTGTAGAATTAACCGGAAAAGTCTATACATTTATCTTTATCATAAATACTTTACGTGGAAAAAGATAAAGTTATCGTTCGAAACCCAAATTCTTCCATTTTTCTAATGAAAAAAGGTCTTATCACCTCGACAGGTTCGATTTTTTATTTTAAATCTGTTTTATTTATGATAGAATTCGCTCCGATCTCTGTAAGACCCTAAAAAATAAATCGTCATTCATAAATATTTCAATGAAATATCTGTAAGCCCCACAGAAAACGGAAACTGTCCTGAATTTTTCTGAAGTTTCCTGAATTTTCCTCCCGCGAGCCCAACAAAATTATTCAATCCGCTCTGCACATAATCATTTACAAAAAAAATGGAAACAATCCAAAACATTCTCACTGAAGACATAAATACGTCTTAATCTAAATGTAAACTGATAACATTTACTAACACAATTTCACAGGCCCTGGGGAAAAATTATACTGGAGTCTCTGGGCTATCCCAGCCCTCGGCGTTTTGTCGCGACAGTTTTCCATCAAGAGTCTCTCGAATAACAAGACTAACAGCCTCATCACTGCAGTCATTAACTAAGCTCTGGCCATTATCCCCATTTCGATTACTCCCAGAGCTCGTGATCTGAACACAAACTGGTGACGAGACCTGAGAGACCAGAGGAGTCGACTCATCATCGCTCTGGTCATTCTGATTAGAATCATCAATAACGATATTCTCCAGTTCATCCAGGGGACTCTCAGGCGATGGTACCGTGACATTTATTTCAATTCTGTCAACACTCTCGTCAATCCTCGACATCGAGGGCCTCAACGACCTCAAGGAATTACTACTGTTACTGCAAATTGTGTTTTTAGTTATCTTAACTGATGGGTGATCGTCACTGGGTCTCGGTCGGGGGGAGGACCTTGGAGATGATGGAGGTGATATCAGGATGGAGTTGGGACGGCTTTTCCCTCGTGTCTTGCGATCTGAAGCCTCGGGGTCAAGGCTGATTTGAGAGGTAACACTCCTCTGGGAATTTGTTCGATGCAGGTGCACCAGGGAATCCTGCGAGCTTTCGTCAGAGCTGTCAGGATCATCTGGAACTGGAGCCCAGTGGAATATTGGCGATGGCTGGAGGAGAACGTAATCGGTGTCTGGAGCTCTCGTGATGCTCAGGGATCGAGGACGATCCGCTCCTGGAACAGAATATTTGAGGGTCCGAAATTTCCGAACGAAAAAATTTCCAGAAAATTTCCAGAAAATTTGGACTATTCCAGTGAATCTCTATTATTTATTTATATCTTTGTTATTAATAGTCAATACTTTATTATGATTCATAGAGTATTATGGATTATTTCGGATAATATGGTTTTTTTCTCTAGAATATTTTCTCGATGTAAGAAATTCTGTAGAATTTTTAGGATTCTGGTTTTTGTTGAATCTCGGAAGCAATACAAATACGACATACCTGCCCTGACATCTGAAAAAACATTGACTAAACGTACGAGCACAAACTACTGATTAAAATCTACATTTGAGTTGGCAATTCCATTGGTAATGAAATTGCGGTTCGAAGTGGTGAAACGTAACAGAACAGAACGAATCAATTTTCCAAATTTCATTAGAGTTAATTATCGTAACGAGTGAGAAAATTTTCATGAAAAAATCAAGACATTCTGAATTTAATTGCACAACGAATCTCCTCAGATTTCATTCTCAAATCGCTATCGAATTTCAATTGACACGTCACAAATAAATATTTCATATCTGTCTAATTACCAAATGACTTTATGGCGAGTGCCATTAAGAGATAAAACGAAGAACCAAACGTTAAGTTCTTGTCTTTTAAATTCTGGAATAAAATCGAAAGTCTTGTTTTTATCATTCCTAAAAACCCTCGCTACTAGAATAAATTTATAACATCGAAAAATTGACTCGTGAATTTATAACCCAAAGTCTACAGAAAAAGTCATACAATTTTGATACTTCAATGTCACCATTTATTGTGAGAATCCAGGATTATTTATTATAAACAATTTCTCCTATTTAAGATATTTATGGTAATCTTTGGTCTTTCTCCTTCTTGAATACTACTTATACACAGCTGCAAGGTTTCTCGTGTACACGTGGAAAATAACAGATTCGTGTGATTTCTAATTATTTATATTTACAAAATAACTGCACATTGTATCACAGTTTTACACGTGTAATAAAGATCCAGGGGTCATCATCATTAGCGGTGATGAGAGTAGTCTTCCTAAATACTCTGAGATCATTGATATGAAGTGGCAAAACGTTGCAACTCTAGATTCTGTCTTAATAATTCTGAGACATCAGAAAAATATCAAGACTTGATGAATCCAGTAAAAAAATCGCAAAATTGAATTTCTTAATTATCGAATTATCTCGAAAACTATCGATTTAAACAGAAAATGGTGAAGGACTTCTTTGTAGTTTATTAAATTCTCGAAAGAAAATGTTTTTTGACATTTTCTTCTGAAATCAATACTTTCGGAGATAAATCGGTATTTACATGCATTATACAATTTGATTTATCATAACTAAAAATCAATTCAGTCTCTCAGTCTCACCACTTCACATTTATTTAATAACATAATCGGCAAGCAGACATTATAACAATAGCATTCTTCAAAATTAACAAGATATTTTTCATAACAAATTACATAATCATTAATACCACTCTTTATATACAATCGAGAGTCCTCTGCACATTGAATTATTTACCTATCTGATTAAATAATTAACAGACCTGAAGAAAACTAGAACAAATGGCACAAAAGGAACAGAAAAAAACAGATCATCTTCCGGAGTGACAAAATGCGAGAACGAAAGGAATTAATTCCCTCTAACTTTTCCAAGAATATTAAAACAAAAGAGAAATACCAAAATGTAAAGAATAATTTGAACTCATAAATTTTGTTATTTCAGATTCATTCGGAGAAAATCGTAGACTCATGCTGAAATTGAAGGAATTTGTAATTGAAGTGATCCTCACGGTTAAAATTTATTGGTGATGATTTTGGGTTTAATCGATATGCAATTGACTAGAAATGTGTGCCGTACTCGATGTCGATGTCAGGGCTTTGGTCAGACTTCGGTGGTTCTTCAACAATAACCAGAGGCAGTGAAAGCGGAACTGAAGTTGGCTCACCTGCTAGTGAGTCTGGCTGAACAGCAGACGGAGATGGTACATCTAAAACATCCTCACAAGCTTCTTCATTCAGAGTCTGAAGAGCCCCACAGATCATCTGCTCTTCCAGTGTTACCTGAATGCCACCAGAAGCCATTCAATTAACTCCCAGATTAATAATTCAAAAAAAACAATTCACATTTCGATTAATATCTCTGTATCCACGCGAGATACCGAAATTTTCATGAGGACTTCGATTGCAGAAGTGAACGAGGACTACAAAAAAGATCTTCTCAAAAATTTTGCTATCTCTTCCAGATTCAGAGATATTCCTCGATAACTTATCTATTAAAATCTCTTCATTGTTAAAATAAAAAATTATGATTTTATTTTCAATTACTCCATGAAGAATGGAAGCATGAATCACTAGGAATTATTTAGTGATCGCCAAAAAAGTTCATCTATTTAATTTGCAATGGCAGTCTTAATGATTTAAAAATCGATCCAGGAATTCTAAAGACTCACATACCTGAAACTGTGTTGGTGCCAGGGGGCAGTGAATGCACATGAAGAAAAGTGTTTATTGTATCGGCACGTGCCATTCAAGAAGAGAATTAATTAAGCCGTAATTGAGAAGTTGTAAGTACTTGGGATTTACCTGTTTCTCCATAACGGAATGCTTCACCTGATCACGCCTCGATGGGCCATCAGTTCTGCTCGTGGATTTTTCCTTATCAACATGAATGGAGACACGCTGATGATTGCTGTGCGACTCCATCCTCTGATCCTTGTGGCCACCGTGCTCTGTACCAACAGTGAATCGAACACTACGAGAACCATCATCTTGACTGAGTATTTTAATTTCGTGGTCTCGTAATGTTGTCACGACCATTCGAAATAGTTCCCAGTCACCGAAGGACATTTTTAGTACCTCTTTCAACTCAGCCAAATCGCAATGCAGCAAGACTTTCCCATTAACATTATTCTCCCTAATAATACTTCTATACTTCTCCACATTTCCAGTATTGAGTTCCTCAATTTTCCCCAGAAGATTGCAAATTTCCTGAACTGACGCCCTAGACAGCCTGACATCCATCACTTCCGATGGCAATGCACTAGCTGCCGATGAGACTTTCTGCTGATACCCCTGCATCCACCCATAAATCGGTGGCATAATGGGCCAAGGATTGAGCCCAGGATGACTAGGAATATTCGGTATACTCGGATGCAAGATCCCAGAATTGAGATTATGATTTCTATTGATCTTCCCTTGTCGATTGGAGAGAGTCCCCGAGCCGGGATTCCCCTGCCACGGATTATTCAACAGCAGTCCCCCATTGTTAATCAAAATATTCTGATGAAGAGGATCTTCCTCGATGCCCTGCTGCTCCTCCTTAATCTTCTTCTTGATGTACGGATCGAGATTGATAGTGAACGGTAGAAAGATCTTCATATCGCTGACAAGCAGACTTGACCGATGAAACGTCAAAAAGACATCAAGCTTCCTCTCGTCCCGGTCCATCTCCAAGAGAGGCTGTGCATCCTTGAGCACCGGTATCTGAGGCCGGACTTTATCATACAGAGTTTTCAGGGATGTCGAGTCATCGTAGCTCTCTTCATACATATCGTAGAACAATATAAGCCAGGAGGTTCGGAAGGGCCACTGCTCAGTGATATTGATCCAGCTGGCAAGGTGATACCAATTGAAATCAATTTGGAATGCCTTCAAAAGCCTCCCAGTGACATAAACAACATTCATGAGACGTCGCATGCTCCTGGGATTGACATCACTAAAGTAATCATCAGTCAAAAGCATCTTGTTGAGATCTTGCGCACCTCCCAAACGATTCAAATTGCTGCCAATACTAGAAGCGATTGACTCACTCAAACGCATCTTTCGGCTGCCTTTTCTACTGGGCGGTTTGAGCTTCTCGTTGCTGTTCATAATTACACTAGATTCAGTGCTCAATCTTCTGTTGGAGATTGAATGCTGTATCGTTGCGCTGGTGGTTGCGTAATTATCATCGCCACATGCAGATTCATAATTCCAAGAGCCACCAGTCTTTTTACTCATGAATTGAGCAGTCTGCTGGGCAACCTTGACTTTCCTCAAGCCACTGTTCTGAAGGTAAAAGGGAAGGTGGACCATGTTGCGGAGGTAATCATGACCTCCGATGTTCGACTCGGCGAAGATTCTACGGCTATTCAGCTCCACAGCTTTAGCTATTATGTGGGGATCTATCGCCAGGATGACGAGGAAGGGGCAGTTGTTGTCGCTGAAGAGGGCCTGCATTGCGTCGAGAACAAGCAGGACTTTGTCCTGTTCGCAGCTATCTAGTCCGTCGACGATTAAAACTAATCTACTCTGCTGAGCTGTGAAGCTGTCCAAGCACTTGACCATTTCAGTCATTAGATGGACTTCAGATCTCAGTGTTTGGATGAAGCCTTCGCTCTTCAAGGAATCCAGTTTGGCTATTGTTCGATGGAGATGACGTCTTTGTGAGAACAGTAACGAATGGAAGATTCTGCTCCAGGTGTAGAGATTAGCGATTATACTGAAGGCTAGGATGAGACCAACAGTTCCCATTATGATGTACGCTGTAACGGGATCTATGATGGGTTCTTCTGGTGGTTTAGGGTTGAGATGTAGTGATTCGTTCTGAGATGAAGTCACGTTGATGGTCAGAATGGGTGGTATTTTGTTGGATGTATCCAGTAAGTAAATTGTCAGAGTCGAGATGCCGATGAGCAAACTCAGGAAGCAGAACTCGAATATGACGATGTAGGGGAGACAGCAGAGGTGCCTCCACGTCCAGGTCGTCGTCGACTTCACAGGTTTCGGCCGAAATGCACGGTACAATCTCGTGGCGAGAGATCCAAAGTCATTTTCTATTGAATCGTAAAGCGAGCCGACCATCTGAACAACAGCATTCTCCCCCGCTGTTGTCGTACCAACTCTCGTCTGATCTGTGAAGTAGAATTTTATCGGCTGAATGGTGGTTGTTATCTCTGAAGGATCGGTATTGATTCTCCCACCCGGTGGGTGACAGAATATAATCTGCAACAGAAGCTTGAAGGAATTAAGTTTTTTGGTCAGGGCTACGGTGAAGTTGTACGGCCAGTACCAGTCGTATTTCTTGTTGGCATACCACACGAGGATCAGGCAGATGTAGACAGTGCAGAAAACAGTACCACCGAGGGAAACACCTACGATCCACGACTGGAGTGCAAGCCCCATCATCACTCCCAGGAACAAAGACACGTGAATTGCGGAACAAAATAGCAGAGATGAGAATTGAAACGTCGGATCGATCCACTGTCTCGCAAAATTTTTCATCTCCTCTCTCAGTTTGTTCAGTAGAAATGATTTTCCAGATCCCCATTTAGCGTAAAGACCGACCGTAATCGGTGTCGAGAGCGATGGCTCACTGAGAATATCAGCTAGTGCACTACTATAGAGATCATACCCCAGCATGTTCTCATTGTCTTCATTAGTATTCAATCGCCTAGCCCCAAATATCTGACCTAATATCGTCTTCGGGTGCTTTATATCGATGTTGTAAGGCGTTTCGCCCTGGCGATTTGGTCGATACAAGAGTTGGCTGTTCTTCGGATTTCGGAGAAGAATCTCAACGATAGCTTTTGACCGCGCACGCATGGCAATATGAAGGACACTATCACCTTTCTTATCGGTTGCAGAAACCTTCGCTTTCTTGTCCAACAGCAGCTGCACGATTTCGGCATTTCGAGATCTCACAGCTCTTAGCAATGGAGTGTCGCCGTCCTTCGTGGCAATCTCAAGATCAGGATTGGCATTCAACAGCATTTTGAGAATTGGTACGTTGCCCTTTTCCACTGCAATGTACGTCGCGGTCTTCTTGTCCTTCCCAGCTACATCGACGTCAACATATTTCTTCAGTAAAGCTTCAACGACACTCCGGTGGCCGCCCTTCACCGCGTGGATGAGATTCGTATCACCATTTCGATCCTGAATGTTGATGTAGGCCCCGGCATTTAGAAGAGCACTGACGATTTCGTGATAACCTTCACGAGAAGCTATCGCCAATGCTGTGTTACCATCTTTGTCGAGAGCATTGACGTTTGGCTTGTGTTCCAGCAGAAGCATCACCGCATCGACATGATTCCCAAGAGCTGCAACAATCAGAGCTGTCCAGGAGTACATGCCTGCGGTGTCGACGTTAGCCCCAGCCTTCAGCAGTACATCGACGATTTCAAGATTGCCCTTGCGTGATGCCCACACTAACGCTGTCGTTCCATATTTGTCTCCAACGTTGACCTTCGCACCGTAAGCTATCAGTTCTCTGACGATGTCCGTGTAGCCTCTTCCTGATGCCCAGAGTAATGAGGAGATGTGGTAGTTGCCATGGGCGTGGACATCAGCACCTCGTGACAACAGGAACTTGACGGTAACGAGTCTTCCTTTGTAGGTTGCCCACATCAGGGCTGTCCATCCACCCATGTCTCTGTGCTCCAGATCTCCCCCATGATCCAGCAGCTCCAGACATACATCCGTGTGTCCCTCCTTCGAGGCACAGAGGAGTGCTGTCCAATTGTCTGCATCTTCAGCGTTGACGTCGGCGCCATGATTGATGAGCTCGCGAACAAATTGAATCTTTCCTTTAGAGGAGGCGTATATGAGGGCTGTACTGGCATTCTGCAAGGTGGAAGATTCTCGTCATGATTCACCTGTTGGGGATTTTTAAGGGTGAGAGATGATTAGAGCACACTGACCTCATCACGATCGTCAATGGCAATTCTTTTGACTTCAAGGAATCCTTGAAGACCTTGGAGATTGTCTTCAGCGATGTAGGTGGCGAGGGATCGGTAGCAGAGCGACACCATGGAGTCTGTACGATGTAGTGTCTAAAAACACAACACAATATTTCAATAATTAACGATAACGTCCCACAGAATGAGGTACGTAAGAGCTATTGCGAGATGTTCGCTTAGCAATTAGGTTCCTTCGCTTTCTTGCGGACGTCTGAAATTCAAATGTCAATTCAATTTTAATTCGCCAATGAACGATTAATCTGCAGTCTCTTCTACTGGATTAATTGATCTTCATTGAAAATGGCAATTTTCATTTTCATACCGCCCGCGAGTTATTCAAACTGAAATAAGCGATCACACGGTTCATCCATGACATCAGCGAATGCATGGCTGATTATTTGATTATTTTATTATTCCGTCACTGAGAACTTTTGATTATTGCAGACAAACTCTTTACGTCGACTGCAAATCCTTCCTGTACAAGCACTTATGAACGGAATAAGCAACACATCGAACATACACTCGTTCGGAAATCAAAAGAAATAGTCACTTGTGCAAATACAACTCGGAGCTCATCAGATTTGTTGAATAAAATAGCATCGGTGACACCGATGGTTCGTACATCATTATTTTCAAGTTAAACAAATAATATTAACAAAAATAAATGGAATTTTTTACTTACAGCTGGAGATATAAAACCAATAATGAAATTAGAATGTGTAAAAATAAATTTATGAAAACACTTCACACCTTGGGTCATTATTAATAATAATGACTGATTAATATTATAATTAGACGATTACTATTGAATTCTGGAAATAATAATTTCGTTTGATCTCTCTTAGGGTACAGATATCGAGGAGACCAATCGATTAATGGAAATCAGTCTCCGGACATTGAGACAAGCGCAAGAACAGATTTCATGTCATCATCCATAAAAAATTGATTAGTAAAATTCAATTAGTCATTGCACCGAGTTAAAGCGTTATTTAGTCTTCATTCTTGTTCTCGCTCATCACGAGAGGACGACAAAATAAATGCCACATGCTGTGACATCCAGCGGACAAATAAATCATGTGCTGACGGAAGCTGAAGTTGCCCAAAATCATCATGATCAATCAGATCAGGATTAATGTCCTTCACTCGTTAACACAATTTTACCCAAGAGTGCGGTTGCGGCATGTGCAGACGGATGAACGGCAGCAATGATCTCCGTCGACAGGCAACAAGACAGAGTTCTTCACGAGTGGTCATGCTGCATCGCGATGATTGATATCTTGTCTGGCATGGATCTCTGTTGATATCTATGGTCATGAGACTCTTGGCAAGATCCGAAGAGACACCGAGAAGACTTGGACCTAGGCTCGAGTCGATGACAGTATCGGCGATGCTTCTTCTTCGTCTCTGATTCCTGTGGGCATTCCTCAGGAATTCACTGGTTGGTGATAATGGAGTCAGGGGTGTCATCGGGTCATTGTCATTTCTGGCGAATGAAGTCTTCAGTAAAACTGAATCATCTTTCGATTGCCCGTGGATTTGCAGACGTAATTTGCTTTTCATTCGGGTTGTGCTTTGATTAACTGCTCCTGAGGACAACGCAAGTCCTTCGAGATCACTCGGGATACCCTCTTTGATTTGATCATTCAGATCATTGAATTTAACTCGGGGATGATCACCAGGTGAACCGTTGCAGGAGTAAGTCATTATCTCTGATTTATTTTCTGTTTCTTTCGGTTCGTTTATGGCGGAATTAGAAACCGATGACGGTTTGTTCGTCATGATTGTCAAGATGATTCCTCTGATGATTGGACTAGACAAGTCGAACAAAAGGGGATTAGAGAGGGCGTATGTCCTGTTTTGATAATGAAGATAATCAACACCTTGATCTCGATTCATTATCTCTGATTCCCCATCATTCTTCGGTTATCGCAATGAATACGCGAATTCCACGGATTAGGAACTCCGATTTTTATCGATTGACCCTGTCGTTTTATATCAATTAATGACGAGAGTGGCTCCATTAAATCGCGAATCTGTCCTTCGGATTATATCACGAGTTTCGTGTTATTGCCAATCGTAAAACTATAAATCGTTTCAGATCACGAGAGGTACTTGGGCATTTTTACAAATGAAGATTTAATGAAAATTCATTTGGGTTATGGAGAGTTTGAAATATTCTTCATTCTTTCTGGATGTTAATGGGCGGATCATTTGTGATCATGAGGAAACCTCATGCTTGTTATAATCTACTGTTTGTTGACCCCATAAAACAATGTATCACAATATTATCACGTGCGTTGTGGGGCTAGCGTTTAATTTGGGCGTGGAGAACGTCGAGAAAAAGCTAGGAATAAATCTTTTATCAAAAGTTATCAACGAAATGATATCCTTAATAATATTGCGGGGCTAGAGACCACGAATTCAAAATGTTCTACACTCTTTCCGTAATTTTTACGTTTATTTTTTCATTTTCTGGTAAATTTACGATGGAGTTGACGTTAAAAAACATAAAATTTTTGCGAACTGCCTTATTTAATGACTCACGAATTTTTGAGGTGACACAAATATTTTCCTGCGTTTCAATTTTTTAAAAAGAATCACAAAACTTTAGAAGAAACACGTAAAAATATTTACATCACCTTTTTTTCCAACAATCTTTCAATTACAGATTTATCTTTCAAGTTTCCGTTATCAAATAAAATTCTCAATATAAACAAAAACACAATTAATAAATCACAATTTCTACCAAAAATAATAACTAACCCGTGATAAATGCCCCAGTTTCAACATAATTCCGGACTTCACTATGTACTATCTTGAAACTAGAAGACATCTAAACAAAAATGCGCTATTGCTCAATAAAAAAATAGTTCTTGACAACGATAAAGCGGTTTATGATAAGAAATCGAAAAAATACGCGCGTGCCATCTCCAGTGAGTACTCCACTAAAACTGATAATAAACTGAGAACAAGAGGAGCCGAGCAGAACCAAAAGCCATTATATATACTGATCTCATCTCAGTGGTGTCTAAAGCTAATATTTACTGGAAATAGTGGGTGTTTCATTGGGGCTTGTCCCATATTGCGGATCAACATGTTCTAGTTTGCATTTTGCATTGGCAATGAACTGTGTGCATTCCAAACAATTTTTTAACGAGCCCATGATAATTCCTCTGTATCTAATCTATTGTCAAACGCGCGTGTTTACTTTTTTCTGCCCTCATGACTCGGGATTTTAATTGGAGTGTAATACGAGGCAATTACAAACGCTTTCGACTCATCCAGTGGTGAAGTCATGACATTTTTCTGGATTTTTGGAGGATAATTGTGAATTAATTCATTTTTTGATAAAAAATCTGGAGTTACTCCTAGAAAAATTCGGTTTATTCATCACTCGAGTTTTAAGAATTTTAAACAAAGGGAATTTATGGCTTTTTATTATTATTGTTGAATTATTTTTGGCAATGAAAAATCTTTTGCTTTGTAAATTTTATCTGTGTGAAGTTCTGTGAAAGTTTTCAATTTACGTGGGCTTTTTATTGATTGCGGATCTAGATTTATTCTTATCAATTTTCCTATCAATCTTCTCACTTGTGGATTAATCTTCAAAATATTATTCAATAAAACGAGTGACATCCGTGGAAAATTCCTGATGAATAATCTTCAGCGATTGAAATATTAATTAATAACTAATTAATAACTTAAACACAAGATATTCCCCCGATAAATTCGTTTATAGAAATTCTTAAGACTAGATTTTCCAATTTTTTCTTTCATGTCTGACTCTCTAAAAAAACGAGAAACCAAAAAATGAAAATTTATTTATTATTATTCAAAATAAATAATAGAAGAGCTGTGAAATATTCCGATGGGATTATAAAAAAAAATCCCGATGTAAATTCCAAGATTTCCCAAAGATGAAAGTTTTTCCGTAAATTTTCCATTTCAAATACCTGTCTACTTCTCTTCCAAAAGGATTGAAAGAGATTCTGATATGTGTGGAGAGATCCATAAGAATTCCATCTGCTCGATAAAGATGAGAGTGAGGAAGGGGAAGGATCTAGAAGACTAGACGTTTCACTCCTATCAGACGTTGAATCAAAAAGAGTAAAGAGTTTCACTCGCATAATTAATAAATTCCTCATTCGCTGCAAGATTCATCATTGAAGAGGACATTCCATAGAACTAGAAATAAATTTGAATAACTCGACACGATATTTATCGATTCTCGTTACCCAACCATCAAATCACTGATATTATTGTTGTTTAATGTTTGATTTTCCGGATGCACTTCACGTGAGAACTAATTCCTTCTGTTTAATGGAATCCCCGATGGACATGTGATACAATAAATCGCTAGCGTTACGATAGCCCCGGCAATGGCCGCACTCCAAGATATCGGTATTATCTATTGGGAAAAAATAAAAAAAATATTGGAGGAGAGATTCTTTCATTTGTGATAAAAACTCAAATGATAAAGTCGAATCTGTGAAGGGACGAGTGGAAGAGTTCATTCCCCGTATATTCCTAGAGGTTTGATTATCCATTACACGCAGTAATTTATTAGTAATCAATATTCTACAGCTCATTAGATTTAATCATGACATAATGAGTGATTTTAGATGTAGTACAGGAGCTAAAATCGTTTTTTTTCATTCATTTTGAAATTCATTTTTACGTGGAGAGGAATTTTGAAGAATTTTAGGTCTGCTCTGGAAATTGGAAAGTTTTACATTAAATAGAGTAATTAGTTAATTATTGAAGGAGTACTTACTTTGGGTGATTACAATCGGTTGTTCAGTTGTTCATCTGGAATCATGAAGACAATGTCTTAAAAATTTCCCACTCTCCGAGGCTGAGGATTTTTCTGTTGACATCTGAATAAAGAAGAAATGGAAAATAATTACAGGAAAATTCAATAACTTTTACAAAAGAAATAAATTCGATTTGTTGGATATAACATAATATACGATTTAAATAAAATGATGATTTGGCTAGAATAATAAAAAAAAATATTGTACTTATGAATTGAATTTAATTAAAGAAAAAAAACAATAAAACAACAATAAAACAATTTTTTTAGATATCTAAGATTCTTTTGATATCTAGATTTTATATGTGAAATGATAACCCCAGAGATCAGAATTTCATTATTTAGATTGATAATACTTATTGTTGATGTGTGATTTACATAACATTATGTAGACTTGACAATAATGTATATATATTAAGAAAAACAGGAAGAGGAAAGAGCAACTGAAAAAATGAGGATAAAAAATAATAAAAAGCTCTTTTCTTTCTTTGTCTTCGGTTTTGAGAGATGATGGAGGAAAAATTGAGGATAAATTCTGCATCGATAAATTATGGAAATCATATGTTTTAAGGAAATGGGTTTTTTTATTTCTGGGAATTTCGGTGACTTCTGTCAATGTTTCAGTAAAAAAATACTCACGAAAGGAAAATTCCTCACTGATCGACTCCAGTGGTGATTATTGATGAAATATTGTGGTACGATCAGGCATTTTATTCAAACACTCCGCATTTTTGTAAACAATTAGAAAACAACACTGACAACCCTTTGTTACTGTTAACTGTGGATCACTGCATGATTCACGTGTCCAAAGATTGACTGAGGTAGAGGGTTAGTTCTGGGGGTTTGAGTGACCCCACCGGCATCGTAGTACTGCACCCCAAGGGAGGGAGGGCGCCACACGTAATGCTGGGGTGTCCATCAAGTCAAAGGGGTGAATTTTTATTGCCGCCGGAAGAAAGCCCCCTGGGTTTTAATTGGTTAAACGAAAATTAACCCAACAAAAAACCAAGGGAAGGGGAAAACAAAATTTGGGGAAGTTCAAAAAAAAAAAAAAAATCAAACCGGTGGAAAAAAAACAACAAAGAAAATAATTTAATGAAAAGAACCCAGAGCCCAAAGGGCAAACGGCCTGGCCGGCAAAACGAACGCCGGGGGTCCAACCCCCCCGCAATCAAGTTTTTTTTTCAAAATAATTACAATTTTTTCTTTTGTAAATGGGTAATCAATCGAAATATTGTTTAAAAACTGAATACTTGAAACATATAAAATATAATAATATAAAATATGATATAATTTAAATCGAAAAGATATCCAGTGAAATTGAAAAATTGGAAATTTTTGAAAAAGTATCAGGGTAACATGAACATCGAGGAGCTATTCACTGCAATTGAAAAATTCGACATTTTTGAAAAAGTATCAGGGGAACATGAACATCGAGGAGCTATTCACTGAAATTTTCACTGAAAGCGAAAAATTCGAAATTTTTGAAAAAGTATCAGGGTAACATGAACATCGAGGAGCTATTCACTGCAATTGAAAAATTCGAAATTTTTGAAAAAGTATCAGGGGAACATGACAAGCGAGGAGCTATTCACTGAAATTTTCACTGAACGTGAAAAATTCGAAATTTTTGGAAAAGTATCAGGGGAACATGACAATCGAGGAGCTATTCACTGAAATTTTCACTGAAAGTGAAAAATTCGAAATTTTTGTAAAAGTATCAGGAGAACATGACAATCGAGGAGCTCTTCACTGAAATTTTCACTGAAAGTGAAAAATTCGAAAGTTTTGAAAAAGTATCAGGGTAACAGGACCATCGAGTAGGTATTCACTGAAATTGAAAAATTCGAAATTTTTGAAAAACTATCAGGGGAACATGACAATCGAGGAGCTATTCACTGAAATTTGAAAATTCGAAATTTTCGAAAAAGTATCAGGAGAATATGAAAATCGAGGAGCTATTCAGTTTTTAAACAATATTTCGATTGATTAGCGATTTACAAAAGAAAAAATTGTAATTATTTAGAAAAAAAAAAATGAATGACGGCAGGATCGAACCCCAGCCGTCCGTGTGACAGCCAAGAACGTTGCCCATTAGCTAACGCGTTTATTATGAATATATAATTTCATTAGTAGTATATCTTCGATGTATTGAATAATTTTTTACAACCCTTAAGTGATTTTAAATTGAAAAAAAATCTAAAAAATTCGAAGACGCACGAAATGTTATTTCCAATGATCTTTCTATTAATTTATAGCATTTCTCTTAAAATTTTCAGTGGAAAATTTTCGATAGGAAAAATTGAAGAAACGATTTGAATTTCTGTTATTTTTATTAATCTCTTCACAAAACTTCACAGGGGATCGGCGCATCTGTAACAATAAATAAATATGTTAATCACTCGGTTTATTAGGATTTTTTGAGAACGTGATTCTAAAAGATTTCTTACATTTTTCCAGAATCGTACGGATCTCTGATTCGTCGAAACACAGCGAGAAATTTATCGCCTTTATTTCTAGTCACTTTTTGTCCTTCTTCAGTGCTTTCATAGAGTTTCGGCACAATGGGGTCTGCATTCTGTTTATTTAAATAATTTATTATCAGATAATGAATTATTCGGTTGCCGTGAATGATCTATGATTTATGAATTTGACTCGATCGAAAAAAACGTTTCACTTACAGCCTCTGCATCAGAAATCCTCTCGAACAAAGGATGTTCAACGAAATGATGAACCATCCACTCATGAAGATCTTTCACGTCTGTAACCGTGTAAACTAGTGCCTAGAGAGAAAATCAGATTGAAAGCTAGATGAATCTTGACAGTGAAAAAACATAAAAAAGAAAAAAGTTTGAATTAATTATAACAGAAATATACTGACTTGTTCAGATAATACATAAGCATATTCTGCAAGCAATGTTTTATTGATTATCCTCCATTTATGTTTAGCTTTCTTGAAATGAGGATCTGGATAGAGGAAGAATACCTTCTTCAGCTACTCGACGAAACAGAAAAAAAGAAAAAGTAATTAAAGGAGTCAATAAATTCTGAATTGTAACTTCTCTGGGTTTTAACAGATGATTGATAAATTTTTTGTTGACGTACCTGACCTTTTTTAAAGTAATTTGGCAAATACTTCATTGCATTTGTCCTCAAGCACGCGATGTTATTATATTCTCCAGGATGCTGCGACCTCAGAGCTGCAATACGATCCATCACGTAATCAGATACTTTTACCCTTATTTCCAGTCCCAATATCAGAGTTTTTGGAAACATTCTAGATAATGTCACTGGAATAATAAAACGCAGTTGGAGATTAAAGACAGTGAAATGTCGAATGATAAAGAATAGATTGAAGAAATATTTTAAAAATTCATTTTTCATTGGGTACTTTTCGCTGGGTTTTTAATTGTTAAAAGAAAAGCAAATAATACCAAGAAGTCCACCATATCCGCATCCAATGTCTGCGAATTCCACTTGTCTTGAAGAACCTGAAGAGTTTTCATCTTCTGGTTTGTCGATGCTATTGGGTGGATACAGCAGACTCCAATCGACCAATTCCGGTTTAATTGGGCTGAAATATAATAAAAATACATTCTGAATCTAATCGAATTTTTTGCATAACAAATTTCAAACAAAAAAATGATTATCTTTCTTCAATTTCCACGAATTGAGTAAAAATTGGTCTTGAAAAAAATGGAATTATCCTAGTTTATCACCTCGCAACAAAATTTTAATAATAAAATTGAAGAAATCGATGAAATGTCCACTTACTATTCTATACAATGATCTGCTATGGGGTTGGAATGCGCTCGTTGTCGATAGTATTTTTTCTGTGGCAAAGCCACTGGCTTCGTATCGTCCATAATTAAATCAGTATTTTTTTCACAGGTAAGTCCTGAAAGACTGTTCAATCTGCACGTCATTTTGTATTTATTTATTGCAGACAATCATTTATTGAATGCTTGTAACAAGAATGATGTAACATAACCCCAATGATTCGAGTTGGGAACTAATTCAACGAACTGGCGCCATGTGCGTTGAAACTCGAATTTTTAAAAATTCTCTGTAAAAATTCTTTGTAGAAATTAGAAATTTTTTATTATTAAAAAACAATTTAATTAGCTTTGTGTGAAAATTGCACCGTTGGTAATAAGGAAAGTGAGAAAATGGGAATGAATAAATTGATTTGAATAATGTATATTATATTACCAAGTAATTTATTTATATACATAACGTATTTTGAAATTAAAGATGGATATTATTGATAACAAGTAGAAATGAAAACAGAAAATAATTAGTCTCCAGAGCTAACAGTGTCAATATAAATCTCGAAAGTGTCTCATATATAATCGATCTGGACTCTGAATTTTCCGATTTTCGAAATTTCTAATAACCGAAAGAAGAAAAAAAATGTCAATAGGAAAAATATAACAAAAAATCAAGGAGCGAGTAAATTATGCAATTGATCCTGCCGAAAAAGATTGAGAAAAAAGATTGAATTCACACCGTACTCTCGACTAGTCCTAGGAGGCACATCTCATGCGCCGCGACTAAAATTTATCATTTGTCAACACTCCATTGAATTAAGATTCTCGCCTATTGTTAACAATAAAATGTAGCTATCCATAGAAAACCGGTATATATTCGAAAATTCACGTACTAGCGATGTCAAGTATTTAATTAAGGGATCTTATGTAAGCTGCATCGAAAAGTTCGAGTTCATTGGCCAAGTAATTGGCCTTGTTCCTCAATACTTTGGCATTTGCAGCTGCTTCCTCCAGAGTTCTCAAGGTTAATGCAATTGTCTTGAGATCTGTGTCCATTTCAGATGTTGCTTCATCTACCAAATGACAGAGACGAGCAAATGTGCTTGACAGTTCCCTGAAAATTCCATTATTCATCATAGAGTATCCATAGAGTATATATATTTAATATAAAATATAAAACTAAAGTGATTTCACAGTGCAACATTAATTTTTCAAGATAAACCATAGATTCTTTCATTAATAATGAATTAATAAGACTCTTCTGAATGAATGAAAATTATTATAAGAATATTGTCAATGCAGTATTGCACTTACTGCTGAACTTGATGACTGCAATTGGCAGAAGTCAAATCGACAATCAGCCTGAGCTTCTGTGTGGCATGACTGACATACTGTCTCTTGAACTCCCTCTCTTTAGCCTTATTAGTCCAAGTAAGCCTTTCATAAAAGTAAAGAGCACCGTAGATAGCTCCAGTGATACCAATGAGTCTCCATCCCACAGTCTTCAGCATGAAACCAGCAACAATAAGTCCCCCCATGGTCCCTTGGGAAGTTATAGAAGCAATAGCGATTCTCGTTGCAAGAGACCAATCGTCATTCCCTGATGAAAAGCTCACTGGATTGGTAACGAATTTCACTGAATCAATGCTATCAGTGGGTGAAGCCAGACTCTGTGATATATCCTGTGGATAATTGGCAATCGCCAGTTTATGCCCCTGTTTACCTGTAAATCTATTGATGAGGGCAGTGATGCCCCAGGAGAATCTGAACTCGAGATCCTCATGAAAATCTGCGCACAAGTTGTCACAGTTTAGTCTGTAGAGAATTTCAAAGGGTTCACGTCGGGGCATTATGCTCATTGAAAGGTGCCTTTTAGTTTCGGGTAATAAACCTGACATTCTATCTGTCATTTCTCGCTGAGAAGACTCGATATTCAGGGCCAATGCTGTGCTCAATCTGGCTCTGAGATTCGAGCCTAGACCGTTCTCCACGTGAGTGTGAAGCTCTCTCTTGTAGACATTCAGGACTAGACACTCAGGGTGAAAGGGAACCGAGAATTCATCCACCAGCACTGCCAACCGCTTTATCTCCTCATTCAGGGCTTTCGATACTCTCTGCTCAACATCCTCAACCATTCTATGAATTTTTTCTTTCATCTCTTGGGTTAAGAGCATCAACTGCTGCTCTGTGAAGTTCAATTTATCGTGAACTTCTTGTTTTATTGATAGTTGCTCCACTCGCATCTTCTGGGTTCTCGTCAGGATATCGTCCAGGGTCTGCCTTATTTCGTTGGCAATGTGTTTGCCTCGTTGGGAGTGCTGCTCGAATTTAGTCTTTACAGCGGACTTTGAGATGCACTCCTCAAATTTTCGTTCGAAATCTTGGAACTCGAAGTAACGGTTTTGAAATCCTTCAGCTAGTGCACCATCTAATTAATTTGTTAATGCCTGGTTGTTAATGACTTGTTTACAAAATTGTTTTTAAAAATTGGAGCTGATATTTTATTCAGAAATCATACTAACTGTGTGCAGGTTGTCCTCTTTGTTCCTGCATTCGCGCCTGCAGAGTTTCCTTCGCCGAAATGAAAAAAATACGCTCTTCGGCATCTTTGGGGGAATAAACTTTGAGTTCCTTAGCTAAAAAGTCAACAGCCCTGTCTTGATGCTGTGCCCGTACCTAAAAATTCGATGCATGTACAATCCAATTATCGTCGATGTAACAGAGACTTTTGTAAAATAATAGGATTAATTTTAATTGTCGACTCAATTATTTCCAGCTACACTGAGCTGTAAGCATTGATAATTATCCACGAGCATTTTTAATTTTCATGCATTATATTTTTTATGTGAGCGTGCCATATTTATGCTGTAAATGCAGGAGGTGCTCCAATAATTCAGCACATCGACAAATCACAGAGTTATCTCTTTCTTATTTTTTTTTTACTGTAACTTACTTCTTTTTGCTCATTGGCCAGCTAATGTCCACAATGCGAGACACATTAATCTCATTAATCTTCACACGTATTCCTATCAATTCCTATTAAATAATAAAATATAATTGTTGTTCAACTCACCTCTTCGAAAAATTCTGGTTCAGAGGCAGAAGCATCCCATCGATTATTCAGAATAAAAATATTTGGTTTCGATAATCTCGTTGAAACTTTGTGAAAAAAATTCTTCTCCTGTAGAAAAACCAAAATAAATTCAATTGTTAAAAAATCGTTTCTACAATAAAATTCCATAAAACTATTGATATAAATTTTCCAAACTAAAAAAAACTGGTATAAAATCTCAATATCCTCGGAAAAGAAGTCATTAAATCATTACGAAAAATAACGGTGAATATAATTTCAGAATTAGCACATGATCCCTCAAATATGAAATGTACTTACAGTAACCATTAAAGTAGATTCAGCATTAGCGACTAAAACGAAAACATCAGCATCTAAACAATGTTTATCGATCCATTCATCTAGATTGGGTGTGACATCGACTCCAGGAGAATCAACAAAGACGACATCATCCCTCAGCAGCAAGCACTTCTCCTTTGGCCAAAAGATTCTAACCAAATGACTCTCACACAGTTTCTCCTTGCACAAGGCATGCCCAAGCTGCCCCACAGAGTGTACAGGCTGTTTATCATGGGTTCCCTCAGTCATCAGATATGATTCTCCATTATCTGATCCCTCGACTTGCAGAAAACAATTTGTAGTGTGACCAATGCCACTTGGCAATATCTTATCCCTCAACATGGCGTTGATAACCGTAGACTTTCCATTGCTCGTTCTCCCGAAGAATGCGACCTTCATGTGATCTCTCTTGAGAACATCCTTGATACCATGAACCTTCTTCACGTAACCCTGGATGCTCTCAGTCTCCTCCTTGCTCACGATATTATTCTTATCCCTGTCGAGGATCTCCATAAATCCAACCGTGTCCTGAACATAGTCTTCAATCTCTCCGAAGATGTCATTGATCTTCTTCTTCGCCTTGACGAATATCTGGAGAGGAGAATTATCGATTCTAGCATCGTTACCCAATCGCTGACCATCTCCCCCAATCATTGATATTGTGCGATTGATGTACGCAGCCATTTACGACAATACAAATATTTTTTTTTCACTGTGTTCTATATTTTTTTAGGCGATTTTGTGTACGAGCTCAGGCAGTGTTGATATCGTGCAGATCAGCATGCAGGACCAACTGAAACAAATAATAATGAAGCAGGTGTTGTAAAAATAGAGAATTCTCGGATTTAAGTGGTGAAGCTTAATGAGAGAAATCATATTCTCTGTGAAATAGTGAAACGTATAACACGATATTTACATTGAGTTGACAATTGGAGGTGATCTTAGAATAAAATATGAGGACTCGATACTTTATCTCGATATTTCATCCTTGAATCGTTTAAATCCATTCTAGATTTTAGAAAATGGATTGGATGAGGAATTGTTAGTTGATATTCAACACTGATTACCCCATAAATAAATTATTTCAAAAGCAATAATAAAAAATGAGTATCTGATCTCAAGTTGAAGAATAAAAATTCAATTTGTTCACAGATTTCATCATTAATACAAAATATCATTTCCTTTGGGTTTGCAATTAGATAATATCAAAATTTGATTGTAAAAAATGAGAATGAACGTCAAATGATTAACTGAAGAATTAATTCTGTACATGAAAAGCAAATATAAAACTATACAGCGATTTTCAAAGGCTCACGAATGGGGACGGCCAAAACTACATTGAAAAAACGGATTGAACAATGATGAATAATTGAAAAGTACTTGACACCTGCTTATTCTGTAGAACCGGAGAGTCTCGAGATGTACAAGTGCTATTACTCCTCCCACCCAAATCTAAATCCATTCTATCACTGAAAAATCATCGAAAATCATTCAGAATTCATTCAACCTCATCTTCACCCATGAAATAACATTAAAATTAATTTTTCAAGTGACGTAATACACTATTTGCGCAGTTTGATCGCAGATTAGGTGTATTTAGACACAAATTCTCATCATAACCTACAAGAAAATTTCATAGACACAATTATTCAACTCATGAATGGACAATATAAAATGACATGAACAAATTGGGAATAACCACTCACGTGTGATTACTCCAGAGTTGCAATTGAATCGATTCATACCGCTCACTCCATTTTTTCAATGAGAAAAATTAGAAGGAATCGTGAACATGATGAGACTATGATATTCTCGAGTATTCTAGCCGAAGAGGATTGACTGAAGTAGAGGATTAGTTTTGGGGGCTTGAGTGACCCCAGCGGCATCGTAGTACTCTACCCCAAGAGAGGGAGGGCACCACACGCAATGGGGGTGAAAAATTGAAAAAATGAAAAATTTTCAAAAAAGTATCAGAGGAGCATAAAAATGGAGGAGGTATTCACTGAAATTTGAAAATTCGAAATTTTTGGAAAAGTATCAGGGGAGCATGAAAATCGAGGAGGTATTCACTGAAATTTGAAAAATTGGAAATTTTCAAAAAAATATTAGGGGAGCATGAAAATCGAGGAGGTATTCACTGAAATTTGAAAATTCAAAATTTTTAAAAAAAGTCTCAGGGGAGCATGAAAATCGAGGACGCATTCACTGAAATTGAAAAATTTTAAATTTTCAAAAAAGTATCAGGAGAGCATGAAAATCGAGGAGGCATTCACTGAAATTGAAAAATTTTAAATTTTCAAAAAAGTATCAGGAGAGCATGAAAATCGAGGAGGTATTCAGTGAAATTTGAAATTTCGAAAAATATCAGGGGAGCATGAAAATCGAGGAGGTACTCACTGAAATTGAAAAATTAAAAATTTTCAGAAAATAAAATACATCCCGTCGACCGATCCCTCTGACGGCGGGATTACTACTGAGGCAGTTACCGAGTCGGCCGAAGGGCTGACCCCCACCGTGGGGTGCGCTCCCCCTCTTTCTCTTGGGGTGAGGTGGGGTACAATGCTGGTGGGGTCACTCAAACCCCCACTGAGTGGCTCAGTTCCTGGGGAGTATCTCACCCCAAGAGAAAGTGGGGGCCGCACCCTATGGTGGGGTGTCTGCCCGTCAGTCGACTCGGTAACTGCCTCAGTAGCAGTCCCACTGTCAGGGACCTATCAATTGGGTGAATTTTATTTTCTGAAAATTTTAAATTTTTCAATTCCAGTGAATACCTCCTCGATTCTCATGCCCCCCTGATACTTTTGGGAAAATTTCGAATTTTTCAATTTCAGTGAATAGCTCCTCGATTGTCATGTTCCCCTGATACTTTTTCAAAAATTTCAAATTTTTCAATTTCAGTGAATACCTCCTCGATTTTCATGCTCCCCTGATACTTTTCGAAAAATTTCTAAATTTCAAATTTCAGTGAATACCTCCTCAATTTTTATGCTCCTGTGATACTTTTTTGAAAAATTTTCCTTTTTTCAATTTTTCACCCCCATTGTGTGTGGCGCCCTCCCTCTCTTGGGGTAAAATACTACGATGCCGCTGGGGTCACTCAAATCCCCAGAACTAAGCCTCTAGTTCAGTCAATCCTCTTTGGTCAATCCTCTTCTAGATTTCTAGAATTGTTGCGCGAGAAAATCGGTCCATTGGACATTTTCCATCTTTATTTTTTCACCTTCCCTCTCTACTTTTCCGTGGAAACGTACAGAGACGCCGATAGGGGGATTCCCGCGAATTTCATCAGTGATCCAAGGATCCTGATCAGTAGCCATTGCTCAGAATTAGGTTCGCTTGAAAAAATATCATCCATCGAATACCAAACTTTGAATATCAGGTAATCACTTTCTTCTCCTCGACTTTTATTTTTTTTTCCCGTCCTTTGAAATCAGTCTAGTTCAATTTCAATGACAACCCCATTATTTGAAATGATTTATTTCAAGATTGATCTTGAAATTTCATGATGAAACAGCGACGTAGAAAAATGTGAGAAGACCGGCATTTGAGGCGTAAATTTTTGAGAGTGCATGACAAAATTTTTCGATTACTTTATAACCTGAAATAATTGGCAATTATTTTGATGAGATAATTGAATTTTTACAGCAGATAATTAGGCGATGGTTATTCATAATAATTATTTGGAATTGTTGCAGAATGGCTGATGAATGGGAAGACAGTCCAGGTGTTGTGAGTGGGGATTGTCACAATCAAGGACGCAGTTTTGGGGCACGTGAATGGAAGAATTCGACGAGGGGTGGCAGAAGGGATGATGGATATAATAATCGTCGACAAAATGATTACAACAATCGTGGAGGAAAGGGGTACAATAATCGAGAAGAAAATGGTTACAATAATCGAAGGGATGATGGATACAATCGAAGAGATGGACAGAATTCTCGCCGAGAAAATGGAAGTTATAATTCTGGACAGGACGATTTGGTGATTTATGTACCTCAGCAGATGGTAGGAAAAGTCATTGGTCGTGGGGGATCCAAAATTAAAGAACTCCAGGATGAGAGTGGAGCTCGAATAAGTGTAAGAGAAGAAATTATGTTAAAACCATTATTTTTTATTCGTCGCATTTTTTAATTACAATCAATCGTGGCTGGATGGCTAGTCCTGGAAAAATAATTACAATACCCCAATTGTTGGGAGTTATTCTTGTATTTATTTTTTTCAGTTTTTCAAGGACATATATAAGGAATGATAGGGGAAAAAAGTTGTTTACAAATACGATACGAGTATCTCGGAATCTATAGTCTTTGAGTAAAAGCCTTTTACGAATTTTTCGTAGTGTCTCGATGGATTTCATCGTACTCAAGGAAAAGATTATTTAAAAAATAGAGTTTTATTAATTTCTCGTTTGAGGACGCGAAAAATTTTCGAATTTCAAGTCCTTCTGTAATTAAACCTTCAAATTTTATCATTTTTATTACAGATTGATAAATCATCCCACGGAGGAGACGCCTCGGTGAATATCAAAGGTGACAAGGAGTCCCAGGAGCGTGCAAAAGCTCTCATAGAGGAACTAACTGGAGATCAGCAGTCTCAATCGTCATCCTCATACTCCTCCTCTCGGCACACTACGAAGACAAGCAACGAAGCTTCTTCTCGTGCACCAGATCACTCCTCTTCAGCTCCAGCAGCCCCAGCTACTGGGGAACCTGATATCTTAGACTTTGGAGACTTCGATTGGACAAAAGCCAACGAAGAACATACGAAATTTCAGGAGGAGCGTTGGAAAAACCTCAAGCCTATGAAGAAAGACTTCTACGTGGAGCTGCCAGAGGTACGAGATCTCACTGATGAGACCATTGATCAGATTCGTGCAAGCAAGAATAATATCGAATGTCGCAGAGTGTTCGAGAAGGAGGGCGAAGTTTTCAAAGTGCCCAATCCAATTACAGCATTCCACCAGGCATTTCATAATTACCCTGAAATTCTTGATGAAATAAAAAAGGCTGGATTTGCTGAACCTAGTCCTATTCAGTGTCAGGCCTGGCCTATTCTCCTCAGTGGCAGGGATATGATTGGCATTGCCCAGACTGGAACTGGAAAGACCCTTGCCTTTTTACTGCCAGCTATGATTCATATCGATGGACAACCGGTTGCTCGTGATCAGAAGGCAGGACCAAACGTTCTCATCATGGCGCCAACACGCGAATTAGCACAGCAGATTGCTAAAGAAGTAAGCAAATACGAGTACAGAAATATCAAAGCAGTTTGTGTTTACGGTGGTGGATCACGCCAGGAACAAATGGCAAAAGTCGACAAAGGTGTTGACATTGTAATAGCGACACCAGGAAGATTAAACGATCTCGTTAATTGTGGCTCCCTTAACGTCACAGATGTAACGTATCTTGTACTGGATGAGGCAGATCGAATGCTGGATATGGGATTCGAGCCTCAGATACGCAAGACTCTGCTGGACGTTCGTCCTGATCGTCAGACCGTTATGACCAGTGCCACTTGGCCTCAAGGTGTACGCAGGCTTGCCCAATCTTATATGTGTGATCCCATTCAAGTCTGTGTTGGATCCTTAGATCTTGCTGCCACTCACACTGTCAAGCAGACAATTATCATCTGTAGGGATGAGGAGAAGACTGATATCCTTCGAGAATTCTTCGATACCATGAAGAAGGATGACAAAGTCATTGTTTTCTTCATGAGAAAGACTCGAGTTGATGATTTGTCGAGTGAACTCGCTCTTGCTGGGGTTCAATGCCAGAGTATTCATGGAGGGCGTGATCAGCTTGACCGAGAGCAAGCCCTCGAAGACATTAAAACGGGTGATGTTAAAATTCTTCTCGCCACTGACGTCGCATCTCGCGGTATCGATATCGAGGATATTACCTATGTTTTTAACTACGACTTCCCCAGGGATATTGAAGAGTACGTCCACAGAGTCGGAAGGACTGGACGTGCTGGCAGGACAGGGGAGAGCATAAGCCTCATCTCCAGGGGTGACTGGGCACTTGCCAAGGAACTCATTGCCATCCTCGAGGAGGCCAGCCAGGAAATACCTGACGAACTTTACAGCATGGCTGAGAGGTACCAAGTATGGAAGAAGAAGAAGGAAGAGGAGAGGGACGACGTGAGATCCTATGGAGGAGGCAGTGGACGTTATGGAGGTGGTGGTAGAGGAGGTGGCAGAGGTGGCGGTAGGCGAGACAAATGGTAATTTTCACCATTTATGAGGATTCTAAATTAGATTTTATATTCACACTTCAGGACAAGTTAATCGTTAAGTTGGATGACTGAGATTTCAGGCTTACCGTTTTTCATAATTTATGCATAAATTATTGGGTTTGTGCATGACATTTTTTGTAATTTTTCACAATTACAATTAGATGGGAAATTCCAGGAATTAATTTCTCGTGCGAAATATAACGGAGAATTAAAGTTATCCAGTAGCAAATGGGTTATTAAAAACTCGTTTTTCATTATTTATGAATAGGAAACATGAGTTTCTGTCATTTAACATATCCAGCTGTAAAAAATTTCATGCAGAATCTCAATCGAGGAGTAAATTCACTTTTTAACTAGTGAAAGCTAAATATTTTCAGTTTCGAGTACGACACCTGTGATTTACGTTATTTCTAATAAGGATTATTATTTTTTTCGTTCGTACTTTTTTTTTAAGTCAGAGACTTTTATTTATCTTATATACCGATGCTTATGGTAAGTTGGGAAATATTGTTGTTGAATAATATAACAAAGCCGACTCGACAGTGAGAAAAATTATTGAGACTTTGACGATTGGGTATTTCTCTGTTTATTGAAACAGGAAGAAAGCATAGAAGTTATTCTATTGTTACATAATATTTTGTAACTCATAATGAGGGCAACATATGAAAAGGTATAACAGATATATAAAGGAAAACATATGCTGTATAGAAGTGGTTATTACTTAAAAAGTTTGTATTTCATATATTCATTTTTCGTACAAAAATAAACAAAGAATACTAGGGCGAATTACGTCTAATATTGTTGCCTAAATTATTCCTCGAGGAGGTTTACATAAAATGGACATGAGTTCTCATTACTGATAGAACTAATGGAGACAAAAAAATAAATATTCAATTGTAAATTGAAAAAAAAACCAAGGAGGTTGTATGAAAGTCATTGGGATCAAAATGGCATAAAATATTATTTTTCAGGTAAAAAAGCATTAAGAACTAGAAAAGTATTCAATAAAAAGTCTAACTGTAGACTTTGAAATTGCCAGTCTTCGTGTACTTCTCAGCGAAGATTTTTCCTGATGGAGTTGGCATGGAGAAAGCAATATCCTCGAGAGTTAGAATGTATCCATAAAAATAATTCGTTCTGCAACAAAAAAAAAACGCACACTTTATATTTCCTCTAAAAATATAATTTTGGCAGAAATACATTAAAGCTATATTTGAGATATTAAATCCTTCTGTTTCAATTTTCCAATTAAAAAACTTACAGAAATTCCCACAGATAATTTCCGATTTCTAATTCCTAATTTCCAAATACAAAAATATTCCCATATATCATTGCAAAATTAATTACTCATTAACTTACGACTAGTTCATCATTATTTGAATTTTCCACAACTTTAAAGAAGACTAGAATTTATTTTTCAAATACCTAAGAGCATCGAGCAATTTTGTAGCAATATGTTGTCTTCGATGACTCATGGCAGTCCAAATAACATTGACTCCACATTTAACAGGAGTATCCTCAGTCGAGCAGCAATCGAACTCCACGAGTTCAGCAATCATTTTGTGGGCAGTCTTGACAGGCTCAGCGATAAGAACCCCCAGGATAGTTTTATTCCTTACATAGAGATAAATCTTCTTGTCATGATAATCTGTCAATTCCATATCAGCCAACCCCAAGTCACGATCAACAACAGCGAGAACATCCTCGACCTTCTTCCAATAATTCTTTGGATCTGATTTCTCAATAGTAATAATACGACTGCTTGTGACCGGATCCTCCATCACGACTCGTTCATTTTTCCAGCCATTGAACTTGAGAATTTTAAAACTATTGTGATAATTCAAATGAGCGTTTTCATCCTCTGGCTCTCCAATTTGATAAACAATTCCACAATCGAGACATTGAGTTGTTCCAAATCGTTTCTGTCCGGCATCGAGTTGGTACTGATCAATACCCCCATTAGCTTTCGCTGAGAGCTGCCAGGCCTGTCTCTTCACACCTCTGTTTGATTTCTTATCGAAAGATTCATCAAACGATGGTTTGAATCCTTTGCTGAACAACGGAAAATATTTATCTCCACTCTCTGCCCCCTGATCTTCAATATTCATGGAAGAAGTCATATCACTGAGAACACTCCCAGGAGACATCATCACGCTACTCGTCAGAACCGCTTGATTATTAACCAAAGGCCCCATGCTGTCATACTCATCATCCCCCCAGTCATCCTCTAGCACCCTCAAAATATCCATAACACTATTCTGCTGGATCTCATTCACCTCAACATCATCCACCGTCAAATCATTAGCATCAAAAGTCACCTCCATCCTAGGTTTTTTCATAACAGGTCTCACCATATTCTTTTTCTCATTCAGCTTGATCTTTCCATCAGCCACCTTCAGTTTAATATTCTTATTAACCGTCACTGTCGCAACATTTTGAGTTCTCATCATCCTGTTGGTCTTGAAGAACCTCTTAGTGGGATCAGCAACGGGTGACGGAGGTCTCTCCAACGCCGGAATAACTTTCAGAACATTGACTCCAGTGTCCCCTCGTCTCTTTTCTTCTTTCATCCTCTTAATTTCAGGACTAGAATCAGAACGCACCGTCTCATCCATCTTCTCCTTTTCATTCGGAGACTTGCTCTTGGCTAATGATTTTTTGGGCTTCGGCCTCTTGATGCCATGAGTGACACCAGCATTGATCTCCCCAAACCTCTGCTTCTTGTGCCCTCCAGATCGTCTTCCAGGATTAGGTAGGCTGTGTCTTTTCTTCGGTTTGGTTTCAGAGCTCCTCCACCCGAAGCACATGGAATATCTCCTGTTCCCACCATCCTCAGGTGCCTTACTGTAGAACGACTTGGTGCTCAGAGTAATGTTTGGTCGAGTGTTTTCATTTTTAGCCTCAGGGAAAAGTGACGCCCGAGCCTTTGGAATCGTTGAGAACTCATCGGTCTTCATGAGTTTGGATCCTGCAGAGTGGGGATGATCCTCATTCAGATGTCGTTTCTGCGAGATTCTTTCAGGAGAAGACGTATCGTCTGAGTCCTGAGGCCCCAAGGACTTCCTGCGATTCAGAGGTGGGACAATGATACTCTTGCAAACAGAACCCAGAGGAGTTATTAGTTTCTTTTCAGGGTTTCTCGCTCTCTTCGGGGTGTCTGTTATGTCATTATCCTTCTGGGGAGTCTCTGGAATTATCCCATCATCTGTTATCATGTTTTCAGTGCTCTCAGGCGTTCCTGGAATAATCTCAGGGCGTTTGCTGCGTTTGGGGGTCCCTGGGAGGGATCTGGGTGAGGCAGAAGGCAGTCGACGTCTCGGAGATGATCGTGCATCGCGGGTTGTCTTCCTGAGGGCGCTGAAGGGTGACAGTCTGTAGTTATCACGAGTCAAGGGACGTAGACGATCCCACTGGTGTGATTGGGATTTTGGCGAACATTCTGGGGTTGTGAAGGGAGAGTGGTAGGACCGACCTGGGGAACTCGTCACACTACTATGGTCAGAGTGAGCTATTGGGGACATGGGACCTAGATCAGAATCATAACCGGATTGAGTGAGGGGTGGTGGGGGGTTTGAATTCTGGAAAAGCTTGCGTTTGGAGGAGCTACCACTCGAGAAGAGACGCTTCTGAATGCTGGGGGTTTGAATTTCTACCACTCCACTGTCTGTTGACGACATCTTGCTGTGGAGGGGATGAGATTTGGCTGAAAGAAAAAAGAGAATTTTGAAGAGCTTTATCGCATTTACATTACTGATGAATTATATTTTAAAGAGATTCAATCGATGAATTTCGACGAATTTTCGGAAGATTTTTTGACTTTGAAATTTTATTGCCATAATTTTTAATTCATTGGATTGTATAATCTTTGAGAAATTTGCATTCAAAATTCATTTTGAAATACTAAATATATATTTTTTGAACGCTCAAAATATTGAAGTACAATTACAAAAATACGGCATTAACATTGTCCTGCATTTATCCATAAAAAAAAAATATCGTAAATATGAATTTCTCCTTTTTAATTTGTGAAAACACAAAATACTATAAATAAATAACGGTTTGCGATATTCTCAGTATTAAACAGATCTAAAAATTATTTCCCCTCGTTTTTTCTCGAGTCTCCCCAAACAAAAGAAAATAGAATAGTCAGAGGTTTGGCGCCTAGACAAACTAACCAAAAACACGTGTCTACGTACCTCCGTACAATTCTCTCCACCAAATTTTCCAACAGCTTCAACCCTCCACGAGTTTAATGTACTCTCCCTAATTATCCACCTCAGGAAATCAAATAAACCGTAAAAACTCGGATAAATCCCCAATAAATCACTGTTGAAAAGTACTGGCACAACTCCACTCTCCGATGCTTCTCTCCAACTTATTTGTAACGGCTGTTTTCCCTCTATTTTCATAAAAAACAGTGTTGCCAGGCCCCTACCAACCTAACCCCACACCAAATTTAAATAGAAATGCCAAACGAATGTCTGAAGGATTTAAAAAAATTGGAAAACTTCGCGATGTTTAAAAATCCCAAGAGCGCGAAAAAAAAAATTCGCTAAATGGTTTATAATCCTGACTCTTCATGATCATATGATCACCTAAAATGAAAACAGTATCTCCTGTCAAAATAACGTCAGAACAATCGTTTGCTATTGGTCAAAGGAAATCGCGTCCAGTGGCGTCTCTCTGTAATAATATAATATTCAACAGAAATTACAGTTTGTGGTATCTTACACCAATGGTGAGTTCTACAGAAGCGATTCCATTTACTCGAATCGACGATCGTACGATTCGTGAAGGAACCAACACATTCACCGTACTATCGGAATTTTAAAGATAAATTGAACGAAAGATCAGAAAGAAGAGTTAGTAGAATTCAGTATTCATGGCTCCATAGTTCATTCGTCGTACTCTCCATTAATTTTCATTTTTCTTTGAAAAGAGGAGACCATTTTGGATGGTTCAACGACCTTCTGGTGGTACCTTGGACAGCTTCTCCTGCACCAATAATTATTGGTCACTCTGGGGATAGACAGGGAATTAATAAAATGGGAAAGAATTTTGTGATTTTTGTCCTTCTGGTAGTGATTCATGGACAGAGAACTTCTTCGTTCAGTCTCGATCTTGGGGATATCCGGGAGGTCCTTCAGCTGGGACGAGAGATCGGCATTGGTACCCTGGAGTCTGCAGAGTGGATCAGAAAGGGTTCGATTAATGACAGTGAATTGAATTTTCCGTTTATTAAGAAAATGGAGAGGAAACTCATGGAGCGGATAACTAATGTTAATCAGAGACTAGATGATATTGGGTTGAAGATTAATCAACGAGCTCAAGAAATCGTTGATGTTCTGCTGAAGGAGATGCCTCGCAGGCTACAGATGGATAGGAGTCTCCACGAGCTCAATCGATATTTGGGGAGAATCGATGATTTGTACAGCCAATTCACTGAGTATTCCATGTCTGTCGTCAAGTATGAGGGGTACACTATGAATGATTTTGCTGAATCTTGTGTTTCCACTGCTTATGGCAATCTACCCGATATGCTGAGCTCCATTCATCGGTTGCTGATACCTGGTGCAACTTCTGGAAATTTTGACACCAGCATTTTGGTGCAACTTGCACGTTATTCACAGGTAAATTATATTATCATATATTTTTCTTTTTCTACTGGTGATATATTCGTTATATACGAAATTAACAGTTTTTTCTGTTAGGATTTCTAATTTTCCGGGCAGCAATTCGAATATCGGATTTTTAAATCATGATTCATTTTGTTGTTATGCGTGATTAATTATTGGAAAAATTTATAGGTTGAGAAAAATATGTGGAAAATAAGGGCTGGAGATTTGGGACATTGAAAAATAAAATTTATCCATTTTTTTTTTAGGATTTTAGGATTAGGATTTTTCAGAAAATCATAATATTAGAGCGACTGAAAATTGTATCGAAAAATCTATCAGTGTGAGTGTGAATTCACCGCATTATCATGTTCTGTATCATTTCCGGATTAGTAGATCGTGATAAATTGCACAGTGCCTTCCATTAATCATCTAATCATCCGAGTGATTCCGCGAGGGAATGTCACAAGAACATTCGTGCAGCTGAAATAATTTTCAATGGAACAATCTGCCACTCATTCGACATATGATGTAACAACCGAAGAACAATGATTTTTTTCAAAAACATAACTTCATTTTTTCAAAATTCAATCAGTAAAAGTCTCTAGAAAATTACGGATTCCCTAGATTTTGCATAAACAATCCCCTTTCTCCAATTTCCTTCTCGCTAATTCCAGTTTCTCTCCAATTTTCAATAATAATTTACTAGCGAATTGGCAAACAAGTGGTAGGATAAATAAATTTTTTCAAGACTAGTTTTTCCCCAATATCTCCAGATTAAAGTACCACGTCGATTTTTTTGCTGATACATTTTTCATAAAAAAATGTGAGAGCTACAAAAAGGTGTTTATAAAAATTTAATTATCTCCCTACAATTTCGAGAAATCGGTTAAAAACTGGTAAAAAAAATGCTTCGCAACAGAATTGAGAAATGAAAGTGCGAAAAATTAATGAATTCCATAATTTTTCAGTGAATCTCTCCATTGTTGAATGCAAAATTATGCATTAACAATGCACAAAGTATAACTAACAACTTGAGTACCATCTGAATGGTCCTAAAGTGGCGAATAAAAAAAAGGGGCAATACCGTTTACATACACCGCGTCATACTCTCGCACTCCCCTCAGCAACAAAGACATACCTCACCCTCTCTCCCTCTCGTCCAAAAAAAAGGTGGGGATAAAACTGTAAAGTCCAAGACGTCAGTTCCACTCGTATTGCCGTGTACACTTCATGTTGAATGTTTGCTCGTTAAATACGAAAGTGATATTTTCCCCAAAAACTCGTGCCACAAATCAACAAATAAAATAATATTTAAATAATATTTAAATATCATTAAATTGTAGAGTGAGAATAAAAAATAGACACATTCACCATGAAAATTTCTGACCGATTTATCGTGACAACTTCATTTTAATGGTGTATGTCATGGACACCAGTTGATTCATATGAGTGAGAAAACCAAGAACAATAAAAATAGAAAATTCTGCAGAGCTAGGCTGTTCTGTTCTCCTGGAAAGACAAAGAAACCTCGATTCAACCATTTTTCGTCATTTGTTGACTCACCTATCCCTGTTTCGTTGCAGCAGTGACATTTTTAACACTACGCGTGCGTAGATTTTCGAAAATATATTTAAAAACCCAATCGTCTGTCGTCTAGTTGTCAATGAGTGGAGTGAATTAGTGGGGCAATTGTTGGATTATAATCATGGGGAAGCCATGTGTTTTGCTGTTCTACTTGGCACTGATGGTGGTGGCATGGGCATCGAAAGATGATTTTTCCAACATCGACAAGCTCAGGAATGATCTTCTGGAGATGAGGGATAGCTCTGGGAATCACAGGGCAGGTCGTAGGGCTGGTGATGACACCTACATGAGTCTCATTCAGGCATATGATGAGTTTGGAACGAAAATGGATGAGCAGTCACCATCCACTGGGAACAGACACTTCAATTCGCTGAATTCCCTCTGGCTGTGGGCCAGGATTCAATCTGAAATGAGGAGTGTTAATGGATTGTACTCCAGGTTTAGGGAGAAGTTGCATCAGGCTGTTATGGATGGACAGGTCATCAATATTCAGGATTGGGTCGATTTTGCTGACATTATTCTCAACGATCCAAATTTCGCTGTGCCAGTTACACTCGAACGTGTATCCGATGTTATTATTAAGCAGAATTTATTTATTGCTGCGTATGAGGTAGTCTAGTTGGTTAATTATTTTATTTGTGAATTTTAAGAGAGATTTTTGGATATTCAAAATTTTGGAGTAATTTATTTCTGGAGTTGTTTAATTTATTTGGAAAATTCTCCAGGGACTAGGTTTTCGGGTTTTTATTTTGGAGAACTTTCACAAATTGGGAAGAGGGGGAAGTAATAAACGGAGGAATTTAGCTATTGTGTTTTTAGTTGAGTAATTATCTTAGTAATTACGGATTCAAGGAAATAATTTGTTTGTAATTATGGAACAATACTTCTCACGTTTTTATTGCTATTAGAATTCTTGTTCTTAATTTTTCTAAGGGAATTAATTGGGTGGTATTATTTTTAAAAAAATTATTAAAAAAAAAATAATAATTGGGTTGTAAATTATGGAGAATTGGAGGAATCGAAAAAAAAATAATTCTGCAAAATGGATTACAATCTGTAATAAAAAATTAGAAGACATGAGGAGGCATTAATTCCATTCTCGAATTCGATTTATGCAGATTAAATAAAAACCATATCTAATCCGGAAAAATTGAATCCACCAGATAGCTTTTCGCCTTTTTCTACGTCATGCTTATAAAATAATTCCAATCCGATATTTTATTTAGAATGTTTGAGGCTATCTGTTTCGTGAGCTCTGATTATAAAATAATCAGCGAGTAAGAGAAGAAACCGATTAACGATTAAAAATTCGATAATTATTCACGATTTATCTATCAGTTTCTAATGCATCCGGTAATTTTATATTCAAATGATTCAATTAAATGTTCAATCCCTGTGATTATTCACTGATTTGATGAATCATTGAATTACTGATAAATTATAAATATTTTTCGCTGGTGAAATGAAAAAAAAAAATTACTTTTACGTTCTAAAAAATTTCCTGGGAAATTCTAGAGCAATCTTCACACTTTAAATGACTATTTATCATTCTTATGACGAGTTTATTGTTACCAATTAATTTTAGTGTTGAAAAATCGTTAACGACGTCAATTACAATTATAATTTAGCTCAATGAATAGGAACGCAAACAACGAAATAAATGGTTTTGTTCTTTAATGATTTTAGGAGGCATCAGCGCAAATTTGTAATGAACAACAGTCCCCCCAGCAGCTGCTATACAATTTATACTCGACAATTGCTCTAGCTGAGGTAAAAGGATATGCCATGATGCAGTTCTCTTACACACTTCTGCGCTTATATAAGAATGGTACGTAACAGGATGGAGAAATGATTCACGGGTGAAAATTCAAGTATTAGGAATTCTATTCAATTTTTTTGGTATTGACCACCAGGAACTTTTGAAGAGGAGTCGAAAAAGATGGCGAGGGATTACGCTACGAGAACTTCAGAGAGTTTACGAGCTGTGCGCATTGCTATGGCTTTTGCACCCCGAGATTTCTGGCGATGCGATCCCAATGTCCATAAAGAAGGTGAAAAAGCGTAATTCAATAATTAATGATCATTTTTTTAATTACTGAAGAATTATAAGCTAAACCTAACACATTCTGCGAATAAATATCGAAATATTCAAATGAAAGTGGGAGTTCTTTTATAATTCTGGGATCAGAATTAAAACTCTTTATTCCATTACAATAAATGGAAATTGGGAGTGGAGTAATTACTGTTTTGCATTGAATGATGTTTTTGTTTTTAGGCACAACATATGCAGAATTGAAGCAACTCTTCCAAGGATATATAGTCAATGAAGTGGATCTTAATCCGTCGTCAACTTGTCGTGAAAACTGTGGCTTTTATTCTTACGCCAGGGTCCACGGATGCTACGACAATTTGTACTGTTCCCAACAGAGGAAGTGTAATGGAAAAGTTGTCAATTGTCAATATTTTGACTCAGATATGTGGATTTGTCCTTCAGTAAGTGGAATTTCCTCCAACTGTATTAATTGTTATCAAAAAAAGAATACTCTCTGTTACTTTTCGTGATAATTTTCATAACAATTATACGCCAATTATGATCATAATTAATTAAATCTGCAGAGAATGAGTCAAGTGTACTCTATAAATTTTCATATTTTCATTCAACGAAATTACGGATAAATATCCAGATAACAGTTCATTAATCATCGGTTAATTACAATGATTTATAAATAATTTAATGAATGTTCTAATTGAAAATAAATTTGTCAGGTGAAAGGCAGCAATAGAAGATACGAATACATCGAGTACGAGAATGGAAATTTATTCGGGAACAAGGGAACGTGTAAACGTCCCACAACGAAGGTGGATAGCTGGTGGCGTTGGTTATTCTGGCACTGCAGCTATTGCATGTGCTTCTGCGACGATCACAACTCAAGTTCAGAACGTTATTTCAATCTGCGGGACATTACATCGGATGCTGTCAACAACAAGTGAGTTATCTTGCTCGTTATCACACACTGCAGCTTCCTCAAACGAGAAGTCTTATCTTTGAATTAATTATACTCGATATTTTCAGGGTTGTAACTGGATTAAAATTGACCAAAGCGAATGGAATAATTCATATGCAAATTCAGCAAGGGGTTTTGGGACCTCGTGGTGATATTGATGAGTCGACTGTCGATTGGAAACCAGTGGATAATTTCACTATTTTGGATCGAAATGTTGTCAATGGCAGGGATTTTCATACACTGTCGTGGGAAAAGAGGGCTATTGATCTCGATGATCTATTCGCACCTGAGAGTCATGTTCTAACTGGTGAGTCACTATTAACGGGTTTATTCGTACTGTGGTCGCGAATTTATAGATAGGAATTCATTTGCATATTTATTCATACTAATATGAGTGTTGAAGGTGAGGTAACACCTGTAAATATTAATGAACAAAATATTATTCCAAAATATCGCTGTTTTAAATATTACGCAAGAAAATATTCTGCCGGAAAAATATTATACGACACGTTATTAAAATGGTATTACTGATATTGAAATTTCTTTGGGAATAATTTTTCAGGTGTCAGGTGGAGAATGGTCGGAGCTCACTTGAATTTTGAAATTCGGGTCACACCATTTAATTTCACATCTGGACAGTTGATCAAGCCGACAGACAAGAGTAGATGGATCAGCAATGATAAGACTGACGTCAATGATCCCCACGACAACGACAGGAGGACTGAATTGAAATTGAATAAGCCGGACATTCCAACTCGCATTACAGCCCCGAATTTCCCAGACTCGAAATCCAATCAATTCCTCAATTTCGGTCCGACTGATTTAGGAAAAGATGCAGGACAAACAACGGTACCTTTCTTGGATATTCAACCAGTGGTAACAAATCCCCCTTTCCCTCTGGCAGGTGCTGGAGTCTTCCACAAGGGTCGTGATGGAAGTGGTGGTTACATAGCAGTAAAGGTCATAACGTATAACTTTACGGATCATCTTCGTACTGATCTGCCATCAACACCACCCCTTCTGGGGCTCAATGACATTCCAGTGTTCTAAATCAATCGAGAATCATTTGAAAATGCTGAAGAAGAGCCATTCGAACCAAAAGATAGAGCTAATGGTGATAATAGATTTCATAATGATTTAATTAGCCTTCATTGAGAGAATCGGAATTAATGGCGATTATTCAGCAGATTATTTGGGAGGTTTGTGAAGAAATGAATCGAAATATTTTTCAGTATTTTTCAGTAAATTCGTGAGGTTTAAAATTTTTCTGTCAAGTGGTAAACTTGAAAAACTTGAACGGCTCGAAAAACAATATATAATTAAGAATATTAAGAGATCTTTTACGCACTAGCAAGAATTTTTCAAAATAAAGTCTCCTGACTAGTCATAAAAAAACGAAATAATGTTTATTCAATTAATTGAATTAGATCGTGTTTGTTTATCTGAAATTGATTGATGGACGGAGCGAGATCAGGGACTAAACTCGAAAGAACACGGAAAATGTCTTTGTGAAATTATTCTGAAACCATTTTTTCTAGATTCTTTCTATTTACAACTTCATAATTCTAATGATCTGAGTATTTGTTATGCCAGACTTCACGTTTCACTTCTACGTGACTCTCCATTTTTTCCTTATCAACCTGTACGTAATATTCTATTCCATTAGTTAGAAAAAAAAAATGGTTGAAAGTAAAGAAAATGTTCATATCGGTTAATTTGTATGTAAATAAGTGAACATTTTATATCGAAAGATCTAATCATTCTTTTCTACTTGTGCTTATGTTTTTTTCGTATATTTGAAGTAAATAATTTTGTAGTCATATGCTTCATACGTGAAGCAGATCTAATAAATCGATTATAGGAAAATCATTTCAACTCACATGACTCATGATTTCTGTGTGACATCAAACCTCGATGCACTTGGTATATTGACATGTTCTCATATTTATAAGTATTTCACTTTTGATTCGAAACAACGACAGGTGTAATTGAAGAAATTGTTCGTCAACTGCGTACATTTCGTGAGTTCTCAACAAAAGTCCCGCAGTAACTACCATTTTAGTACCAAACGATAAGGCCCGTCCCCTCCTCTATGATTACACACCTAGAGGATTTGCGTAATACGAGGAAAAATGGTGTATCATTCACTGGTAAGTTAAAGATAAATCTTCAATGGATTATAATTTATTCAAATTTTTCCCTTTGTAAAGTAATCAAGAAACTACAAAGAGGAGGTTCTTTAAAAAAATGTTTATTTCGTAAATTAAATTCAGGAAAATGAAGATGTAGTTTTTTTTAAACTTTATTGTATAGTACACTCTGTCATTTATTCAGTACAATCTAATTCATTTAGGAAAGATCTAAATGTGTAAGGATAACCGAAAAATTGACAACGGTGTTGAGATATGTCTATGAAAGAATTACACCGATATGTGTATTGCAGTGATAACGTGGTGTAATCTAGTGTTTTATTACTTCAGCAATAGTGCAGTAAAAAAAAATAATAAAAAGTTTCTTCGACGATTTTTTCGGAAATATCTCTGAGATAGTGAAATTTCGGGAATTCTTTTTGCAGGTCTTGATATCTAGAAAAAATCAAGAGTTTCGTAGTAGATATTTCCGAAAGAGTTACTGAAAGCTAGTGCTTACCTTTTACCACATGATTGCAGAATTAATAATGATAAACCAGGGATTTATTGAACGGATATTTTATTAAACTTTGATGTGATCGGCGAGGGAGCAGCTGAGGCCGGTGTTGTCTGGCTCGACGTTGATTTCCTTGACTACTCCGTCTTCAACGACCATTGAGAAACGCTTGCATCGAGTTCCACCGAGGACTGGAAGGTCCATGGCAAGATCTGCTGCTTTTGCAAATTCGCCATTTGTATCGGCAAGCATTCTCACCTATTCACAGAAAACCAATAAATTTTTTGATCATCAATTTCATATTTTTATAGACGACCACATCCACTACAAATTACATCATTTCCTCAGTTTAATGATCGACTTTTTATCCTAGAGCTCCAGTTAATTGTCAGATTAAATGAGAATTTATTTTTCATGGACTATAAATATTTTTTTTAGGTGAATATTTACTTTGCCATCAGCCTTGTGATCCTTTCCCCAGGCACCCATCACGAATGGATCATTCACACTGACACAGAAAATTTCAGAAATTCCCTTAGACTTTAACTCATCTGCTTTCTGGACGAAACCAGGGAGATGTGTCTGAAAAAAAATACAAGTTGGATACAATTTCCATTTTTGTCAGCATTATTATTTCCTTGCTAATTAATTAAATAATAATCTAAATAATTGGTATAATTAGTACATCGTGTTGATTTCCAAATTAAATCAACAGACAGTACATGACTTGAAACATTGTCTTTAGGTTTAATAACCCTCTAAACTATTTAAAATGATAATTAGACAATCGAGAAATGAATGATCAAGTGATTTAATTTCATTACCTTTGAGCATCCTGGAGTGAATGCACCTGGAACTCCAAAAACAATTATTTTCTTTCCAGTGGCGACCTTGGAAAGATTGACCTTGTTGGCGGGGGAGTCCTCAAAAAGATCCACGTCAGGAACAGAATCACCCACCTGTGAAAAATTCAATAAACCATTTAAATAAATGTTTATAAAGACAACCAAAGCAACGGAAATTGTTAAAATCGGTGAAACTGACAGCAATAACCATATTTTTTGGAGATAGGTGAAGCGATCGTCTGAAACAGCTGAACGATGACTGTCCGGCAACGGAAATGGCGCGACTGACAATCCAAGTCATTTGTTTCTCAATCGATCCCCTTCAAGTTCGATAAAATCCACCGTACAAATGTTGTCGTTGAGTATTTTTTATTTATTAATCAAGTGCTTTCCAAGAACCTTCCGAGGGACTAGCAATCGAGTGTGACAATCGTGACCCAGCGCAATTCGATATTACGCAATTTATTTTTAGATTACGTAAATAATTGTTTTGTTAATGGAAATATTCACGATTTTCAAGGACTGTGGGAGATATCGATTCGACGGGCTAATGCTTTTCAAGAATTCATTCATAAATTTTTCATTTTTAACCTGTTTATATTTTTTAATTAGTCTATCTTATCGTCGCTCGGTATAACAGATATTCGTTTGAAAAAAAAAATCCCCCGCCCGCCGCCGGGTAAAGAAAAAAAGAATGGGAAACCGAAAAAAAAAAAGAATTAACCAAAAATAAGAATTTTTAAAAGAAACAACCGAAAGGAAAAGGCAAAAATGTATCCGATAAAAAAATAATAACAATATTTATGATTTTTCATACTATAATGAAAATACATAATCAATTATCAGAGTTCAATTAAAAAAAAATCAATTGTTATGTAAAAATTGTATTATAAATATATATAAACAAATACATAGATTTTTCGATTTATTTATATTTTTTCCAAATTTTTTTTTTTAATTTTTGGTTTTTCAAATTTTTTTTTTGTAATTTTTTTCAAAAATTTATAGATTTTTCAATTTATTTATATAAATCATGCATTCGTTTTGAAAAAATAATTATTTTCGGTGGCAAACAATAACTTTTACTATATCTCTACAATTATTATTATTGTTATTATAATTATTATTGTAAAAAATTGTTCTCTCATGTACTCATGAATATTCAGTATTATCAAAAGGGCTTCCTCTTGCTACTCGGCTTCCTATTAAATTTTCACATAACCGAGTTTACCTCACCATACAACACAGCGTAATAATAAATAAAAAAGAAACACATGTTAACTAGATTACCGGGGGTAATCCTGGGTTTGTTGGCACCTGCAGGTCATCCTGACGTAGAGACCCACGATAATAGACACTGAATGTCATTATAATATCGAAGAGGTACGGAGATAATCTCACTTCATGGATTTTTAATTATCATATCCTCGAAATCTACGAAATCGATCATAAGAATCGATTATCCAACATTTCCAAAATTTTATTAAACTCGATCGATTAAAATCGATTAAAAAAAGGTTAAATCTCCCCATAATTAATTTCACGATCAGAATTAAAAAGTGAGAGGATGAGGTGTGAAATGTTGATGAATAAAAAAATAAGAAAACCTATGTAGAATTAAAAAAAAATTAGTAAAAAAAAACACTGGGAGTTTAATATTTATTTAATGAAAAAAATGAAAAAATGATTGAGAATGAGTTGAGACTGATTTTCCGCGGGTGTTCCATTTTGCTTTGGTCTCTCTTGCAGGAGAAATTCGTCGTGAATTTTCGGCTTACGAAAGCAGGAGATGATGTGACGAGAATCGTGGTGGAACATGGTGACTGTCAATTAGGAATTTCAGTTGAGAGTGCTGAGAAATGGTGAGCTGAGTCAGCTGCTGAATAAATCTCTCATACTCTAGTGCCATTTTGATGGCAAAACTTACCTCTCTCTTGGCACTCGTCCAGACAAATCCACTGAAAATACTTTGATTTCAAATATTACTCCTGCTACCACCGACAGAATTACATCAAAGAGATTCACCACTGAATATTTATTAATTAATATGAATCAATAACTAAATTCTTCAAAAATTCCAATCCCAAATTAATGATGTAATAATAATAAATATTAAAAAATACCTGGAAAAATGCAGTAAATCGCTGAAACATGACAAGCATTAATTAATAAACAATTGAATCAATAATTAAACAATTGATACTTATAACAATCGAAATAAATCCGTGGAAAAGCTCCAGACAAATTCATTTAACAATTTTTCACCAAAAATTTTTAATAATAAATCAACCGCTTTATGAGTCTGTGTGCAATTTTTTTTTTTCAATTTGATATCGAGTTTTTAATGGAATCAGGTGGTGGCAATGATATTATTTAACAAACAAGCCGGATGGCTAAGATTACGCGACTACTGTTACCAGTAATTCCTTGATGGGTTGGCGTATCCTTTTCCCTTTTCTCTCTCCCGAGAGTTCCTGTCGATAATTAAGAGATCAACGAGATTTATTCTTCATGAGTATTAACATTAACATCTTCTTCATTTC